TGGATATGGATATGGATAGAATCTTACCAACGTCGATGTGTACTCGCCTGATCTATCGCCATCGGATGTTGTACTCGCGGCTCTCTAGTCTTGGCTCTGTCAGTGGATATATATATATATATATATATATATATATATATATATATATAGGCATATGTCTTTTGTATCTTTTCTTGCATGAATAATTAAAATTTGTTTTGTGATTGAGGTGTAAATTAGGTATCATTGATGCAAGCATTACAGGAATCAGTTCACACATTGAGAGCGATTGATATGTATGAGGATGATTTGGGAAATTATTTAAATTTTTCTGAAATTGGGTTAGGGTTCTAAGTATTTTGGTTGTGTATTGATGATTGAGAGGTATGAGGTTGGCTATATATAGAGTGTTCTACTACAGCACACTCTGAGCCGACACTGCCGACGAACAGCTGACTCATCGTTGATGCATTTCCTGAGAGATTCGAACTGAAGGTTTGGGGATTTGAGGCCTGTAATACCCCTAATTTTTAAAAGGATAGTCTCGGTAATTTGTTTAATTGTTTTCTGTTCATTAATTATTTTTGGTTCATTAATTGTTTTGAATTATATTTTAATTGACTTTTTAATGATTTGATTTAGTTGACTTATTTGTGTTATTTGAGTTAATTAGTTAGTTTATTTGTTTTCTTTGGGTTAATTAATTATTTGAATTATTTACAGTAATTGTGATTATTTAAGTTAATTGTTTTAATTATTTATTTGGCTTTAATTCTCTGTAAATTGTATGTTATTTTCTGTTTTACGGTTAACTTGGAATTTTTATTTGTTTCTGTTTTAATTTGTGACTAGGTATAAAAGTGTGGTTAGGGTTTTAGTTCTGTTTAGGTTTAGGTTTATTTAAGGAGCCGACAAGGTTTATAACCTAGGTTGTGTTTATGGGCCTCGTTTCAGACTTTAGGTATAATTGGACTTAGGGTTTTGGTTGCCTATAAATATATACGATAAGTCTGCTTAGGGAACAAAATAATACAACCAAAACACGTCTGTGGAATTAGAAACGAGGAACAGAGGAGGTTGCAGTAGGAGTCGCCGGAGATTGTAGAAGACAACGTAGAGATTTTAACAAAAATCTCAAAAGGCAAGTTCTAACCTTACTCTCTCCCTTATACTCGTGTTCTTTGCATACTCAATGGTTCCAGGATGAATTACATGTTTAAAAATAAAAGACGTTGTCTGTGTCATGCCTAGAGTGTAACTGAAACTGATTTTGGCTTGAAGCTTGTAACCTGTTTAACTTTGAACTGTCTTATTTAATTCATGGTTTAATCCATATTAGTAGCATAATAAGGACTGGGTTAAGGACTGGAATCTTCTAGGATTAAGTGAAACTCTCTGTAAACCTCTACAGTGAAGTGTCGGAGGCGTAAATGGCGACCGGAGAGGAGAACACGAAGAAGAGGAGGGGGAGAGCCGGCTCCTATTGGATTGGAGCCGGCTCCACTTGGACTGGAGGCGGCTCCAATGGTCTAGGAGCCGGCTCCAGGGCCATTGGAGGCGGCTCCAATATTCTGGAGCCGGCTCCAGGTTGTTTATGCGTGAGTTTTGATTTTGTGGGTTGTTTTTCCAAATTTTTTTTCAGTGATTAGGCTTCCTAGTGATTGTTTTAATGTGTTTATTGGTGAATGAATACTGTAATGGGTGATTTAGGAATGATCTAGGGTAAACATAAATATGCAAAGACCAGATTAACATAAAATTGGACACAATCATTAGGATTACATGGAGTTAATTACGAAGGTCTTGTAGACTGTGTAGATTTGGAGTTTCTAATTTCTTAATTATATTAGAAATTTTCTGTGAGAGCTTGTCCACTCGAATTATATGTTCATGGAAATAGAAACTATGCTAAAAATTTATATTTCACTGAAAATTAGTTGATGAGTAAATTTAACGGTTAGTGCGGCAAGTTGTTGGACAGGAAACTATAAGTATAATAGATTACTTCTATTTATTCTGCATGCTATAGATGTGAGTGGGAAAATATCTATTTAGGCTCTGTTAATTCTATGGAAACTGGGAATAGGTCATCATTTTAAATAAAGCCCTGTATGATCAAATTATGGATTCTGAATTGGCTTACTTAAGCATGTTTGTTAATCTGTTCTAACATGTTTAGTTTGGAACTGTTGGTATTGACATTTATATGGTCATTATTTTGTCAACTGTGAATGTAAATATGCAGGTTGGTTATCTATGTCAATATGCATAGTAAGGAGTAGTTGACATTGATATTTATATTTTCAATATGAATCAATTATTGGTATTTTTAAGAATGGTTGCTAATGCATTCTCTTATGTTTAGTATGGAATTGTTGATATTGCTGTTATAATTATCGATGCTTTATCAACTATTGGACGGATTGGATTGTATGTACCGGTATGGGACGGTGACATACTGGGTTTGGATTAGCTCAAATTGCTAAGTCCTACCTATTTTGGAGTAAGGGCACGGGTTATAAACTACAATCCTCCTTATATATATAAGTCGGTACGGTTGACTACGCCGAGTGACTTACTGGATTTCTGGTGGATGGATAGAAACGGAGTTTAGATATATTTTTATGTTACCGTGTCATGAGCTTGAGTCTCAGTGTCGACGGTTAGGGTGCGTATATGCAGTTGGATGTGTAGCTGACTGTAAAGGTTGAGGTATACCCTGTTTAGGTTTAGGTACTCATACCCACTCAGGTGCGTATTGTGTGATGCCTTCTATCCAGGTTGAGACCCCCTTCATGGCCTAGCGAGAGTCCAGTAGTGTGGATATATTTATGTACGGATTATTAGTTATTGTTGAACTATTTAGTATGTACATGCGTATCGAGTCTCTGCTTGGATTGTAGTAGGTTAGAACTTGTTCGTGGGCCTGACCCACTCCTATTTTTCAGGTGTACGTCAGTTCCAGGCTTGAGCTTGTTCGTGCTGAGCAGAGACGATCTTCCATTCTACCGAGGATGTTGGGTTTCTTTCCAGATCTTGGATTTGGGTTTATCTTTTATTTTACTTTCATTTAGTGTGAGACTTTTATTAGGGGTCCACTAGAGATGGATTCCCGAGTTGTTCAAATTATGGATATTTGGTTTATCAAATTTAAGTATTTAATTATTTAAGGATTATCTTTTAGTTTCTTTTCAGCTTTAAACTCTCATTTCTTAATTCATTTTGTATTCTGTGTTCGCTATAAAATTATTAATTGTTTGATACTCCCTCGGGTTTGGGCCTGGGCCTGATCAACCCGTGTCTCGGATCCGAGGGGTATCACAAGGCCCATATTTCCCTTTTTTCGCTTTCACGATTGTGTAATTTTTCTTCTGTGCTGAACACAATTTTTTTTTTTTAAATCAGAAAGCATAAGCACACTGTGAAAAAGATGAACAGTGTTTATAACCACACATCTGTTTGTATTGACGATGAATAGTGTGTATTTTAGCATAAGGGCGTGTTTGGGTGTTTTAAGTGGTTTTGGGTGCAAATGTCATATAAGGGGCATTAGCGTCTTTTTATGCTCATAAGGGCATCATGGTCATTAAAATTATAGTGTGGCACTTTAACGGTGAGTTCTGACCGGAGCCTCGCCGGATGGGGCAAACTGCAACAAAAATCATAGTTTAGGGGGTTAGTTGCAACTTTAGTAGTTTAGGAGGGTTAGTTGCTAATTCCTTAATAGTTCAGGGGGTTTTTTATATTTAACCCTTAAATTTATTAATAATCGTTGGTGTGAATGGTAATTATGTTATTCTTTTTGTCCTAAAATAAATATTATGTTTTTAATTTTCTTTTGTCCGTTCAAAAATAATATTTCATTTTTTTTTTTTAAATAATATATTTCACATTTTTTTATATATATTTTTAAAATTTTAAATTTTAAAAAATAAATTAATAACTTTTTAAAAAGACAATACATGTCTCTATAATAATTTTAAAAAATAAATTAATAACTTTTTAAAAAGACAATACATGTCTCTATAATTTCTTAAAAATTACTATTCGTAAGATACATATAAGTATCCCGCCATTAGTAGTACTTTTAAGAAAATAGGTAGCACGCACCAATCATGAGGTGGACGTGCCACACGAGGACCACACCCAATAGTATCAATCCAATAAGTGTGGAGTTTTTGGGCCCAACTGCCAGTCTCGCACATTAAAGTTTCTTGTTTTTTCACTCTCACGGTCCCATCACTTTTACCAAAACAAATTACTGGCCGTTGATTCCTATAATCATAAATATCTGTTCTGTGACTGTGAGAGCCAGTTTAATTTGAAAACAACGGACTTTGTCCAATGAAAATGGTCCCACACAGCACTTGCACCATTATAAAAATAAAAATGATACAATTACCAAATAATTTTCCTAAATAAATTTTGAATTTAACGTGTTTTTTTGTCCACCTCACCTATTTAAACAGTTTTTAAAAAAATTTTATTTAACATGTGATAAGTGTAGCCAATCACATTAAATTCGGGACTTATTCGGAGATTCTTTTTCAATTCTCCTATCATTACTCTTATAAAAATTGTCATGGTTCTACTCTTATAAAAATTGTCATACTTGGACAAAAAAATATAAAAATAAATAGAAGTACTAACATTTTTGAGATAAAAGGTTGATTGTTCTAGCTTACTAAAAACAATATTATGGTGTGAGTGTATCTCCGCATTTCCTAGAACTTTTAAATAAAAAACAAAAAAATAACCTTTTTTTATTAAAAATAAATAAAAATCCAATAAACTCGTCCATTTATATGAAGACATGAATTTTCTAATATTTTACATGAATATATGTCACCAAATGGTAACTTGTAGATTCAGGATTAACGTTCTTAGAATGAAATGGTAGAATATGAAACCATAAAAGCCCACATTTAAGTCACACTGTATCATACTACATAAAGACATATTACAGGTGTATAGTATCAAAAGAATATTCAACTTACCCACACAAAAAAAAAAAAAAAGACATATTACAGGTGTATTACCAGAAGAATATTCAGGTGTATACCATATATGTATATACAGCACACTCGACTTTTCCAGAACAAAAGGAGACATAGTGTTGTGTGTATGGTGTTGTCTGTTCTTTCCGGTGAGTGCTAGATGGGGAGAAATCCTTGTTGCTCTAAGGTGGGCTTGAACAGAGGTGCATGGACTGCTACCGAAGATAAAATTCTCACAGAATACATTAAGCTCAATGGTGAAGGCAGATGGGGAAAAATCTCCAAAGAAGCAGGTCAGCTTGTATGTGCGCGCACGCACACACACACACATATATATATATAGTATATGCACAGAATAAGAACCATATATATACACAGAACTATACACAGACATATGGGTTTGTATTTGAAGTCATATGATTGTGGTTCTTTTGCAGGCTTGAAGAGATGTGGGAAGAGTTGTAGGCTTCGCTGGTTGAATTATTTGAGGCCAGACATCAAGAGAGGGAACATATCACATGACGAAGAAGAACTCATCATTAGGCTTCACAAGCTCTTGGGAAATAGGCACACTCTCTCTCTCTCTCTCTCTCTCTCTCTCTCTCACTCTTCATCGTCATCTTTCTTTTAATCCCTAATTCAAGCCGCCACATAAATTCTTTTCTTCTTATTATACGTTAGGTCTCCTAGAATATTTAAAAATTTTAAGTCGTTTTTTTCATTCCATGTTAATAATTGTCAGCATGGTTGTCTCACCTTTTATATAAACTAGTCTTTTTATTCTTATGGACACATAAACAGGTCTACTTTCCGTGTCTGTACCACCTAAGGATATTTTTGCTAATGGGCAAACACTCGATCTCTCACTTTAATTAGTAATATATCTTTTTCAGCCACTCTTATCATTCATCTCAATATTCTCAGTTACTTGAATGTGTTGTTATTGTTGTTTATTTAACGTCCAACACCCTACTTCATTAAGATATCTAGCCTAAAAACCTTTCAATTACATGAACGCGCTTCTCTCTATGTTTCTAGATGGGACTCATCGGTTATAAAAGCTCAATAATTTGGAAGAGTTAGTCATAATCAGGTGTTTTCATGAGCTTAATTCATGAGCTTATAAAAGCTCAATACTGTTTTGAATTCTTGTAGGTGGTCTCTGATAGCCGGGAGGCTTCCAGGACGAACAGACAATGAAATAAAGAATTACTGGAACACAAACTTGGGCAAGAAGATACATCTTGACCACCATAACTTTGCTTCAACTTGTAATCCCTCAAACCAGTATTTCAATAAGAAGGATAAGAAGAAGACCCCCACGGCCTCACCCTCACCCTCACCGGTGATGTTCAAAACAAAGTCACAACTGAACAATGACTCACTGGTGCCCCAGACCAACGCAACAAAGTGCTCAAAGGATTTTATTAGTCCACAACCACAAAAAACTGAACCTATTGACACCAACATTGTAATGGGAGGACAACCAAAGGTTAATGACACTTCCATTGTTAGATGGATCGAATCAAGCTCTTACCACGAGACACTGTCATTCACTCGCGAAGAAGATTCTTCCTCTGATTTTATGTTGGATGTTATTATGGGGGAGGTTTGCTTATCAGATCTACTCAACTCGGATTTTTCAGGCATGTGGGACTTCAATTCTAACAATAATGGTAACTATTTATCACCTTCTTCAGAAGGACCTTCATTGTTCAGCAAGGAAATGCAGGAGAGCTGGGCAGTAAATGAGCATGCTCAACCAAAGTGGGGTTCAAATCACCCTGTTTTTGCTTCTTTTCTCGACTCCGGCGAAGATTGGCTAGCAAAATTTAATTAATTATAATCTGCCCGATATAGAAGGGAAAAAATTTATATTGTATGTATATATTTATTACTCTGATGATTCAAGTCTAGCTAATATATAATTGTTTTTCTTCTCTAGTGGTAATTTATGTTTTGTTCTTAATATGTAGGGAAAATTTAATTAAGACTACAATTTAATATAGTGATTAAAAGGAAGACCACTTTTATTGGATATGCTTGGTGTGGAGAATCTTACAAAGAAGCTTTTCTCTGTGTTTGTCATGCTATCATGTCAGTCACCTAATTACTGTTAATTCCTATAATTTCTCCTTCTTTTTTTCTGTCGTTTCAATTATTTATTCATATTTTTCGTTTGAAGAAAATCTAAGTAGCTTGTCAGGTAAAAGCACATGTGGTGTAAATTAATAGTACAAATCGTATAGTGGGACAAGTAACCCTTCGTTCCATTTCACAAGTGTAAATTGTGCAATACGGCACAAGACAGTCCATATCATTCACGTGTGATTGCGCACATATGAGTGATGGGGAAATGAGGACCCTCATGCATTTATAGCATTGCAAAGGATCTGGACTCTTTTCACAGACCTCTTCTCGTACACAAAATATATATATATATATATATATATATACGAATTATCATCTATATATAAATTATCATCGGTCAACGATGTCATCTTTGGCTATATTTCAGGGATACATTCTCTCAATTACAGTATACAAATCAAACAAAGTCTATACATATAACACACATATTCATGTGATTTAGATCAGTGTATGAACAGTTCTACTTTACAAGGCTTTTTACAATTATATAGACTTTTATAAGGCTTATTACAATTATATTTTTTTCAGAATTTTAATAGTATAGATATCTTTTCTACCTGTCCACAAATAGAACAACAAAAAAAGTACCAATAAAAAATTTCTTGTATTTTATTCTTTTACAGTAATAATAATTCATAACATTATGCCGCAATCTCTCAAGTCTCTCCTCTGAATGTTTATAATGAAATATAAATAAATAAACAAACGTAACTTAACTGCCGCAAATCCAGCAGGGAAGATAATACCTATCATTTTTGTTGCATTGAGCAAAGCTATTATAAAGTAGACATGCTACTACCTACCTAAGATGGAATCCACATCTGGAGTTACAACAGCACACTTGCTAAGTTCCCCCACAGCGTAACACTCCTTCTCTTCTGTATTTATGGCAACAACATCCTGGGCAAACACAGAATTCAAACCTGCAGAAACCTGTGCCCACTTCAAAAAATTAAATATCTCACAAGGAATTCATATTCTTAAAAATAATAAATGCAGTAATTGAAATACTTGACAAATCCAAAGTCTCTCTACAAGGAAGTGATCTAAAAAGTTGAACGGTAATTCAGATGCTCAGGAAAATTTCTTGGGAAAAAATATTTTAACAATAAACCCAAGGGTTTTCGCATTGACTTAACTTTCATGACCATATTAAGCCTGTTAATTTTCTAGAACTAGAATGATTGAATAGTAAAATGATTTGACCCTGTTTTCCATTTTGTTGTAACTATATATTGAAAGAATTGAAGCTGGACTAAATAATTTTTATCTTAGAACAAGTAAAAGGAGCTATCTAATATAATATGATTATGACGCCTACTCACATCGCAAAGGTTATCACCAAGCTTTAACTTGATAGAACCACTCCTGTACACTAACATTTTACCCATAAAGCCTGCTGGCAACTCATCCAAACCACAGGTTTTATTTGCTGCTCCCTTAAGTGCCTTTGAACTGCTCGCCATCTCATTGCTCTCTGCATTAGCCGGTCGCCTTATCATCGGCATAGTTGCCGGTAGCTGAAAGAAGAACATACTTGGTTCTACATTCTCCTCCTGCCAACCATTCATCCGAGAGTCATAATAAAGGATTTTCTGCACAAGTATATAATATAACTTGATTATGTCTAATCAAAGTACCAACCATTAGCCCAAGCTCTATTGCAGACTCTGTGGAATGTTCATCATAACTCATGCTTTCTAAAGTCTCACCAAATTCCTCTTCATCAAGCAGTTCTACATGTAAAAGAAGCAAGTTAAATGCACTTTTAAGTTAGCAAACTGCATCATAATAATTTATGTACACATCCTTATTTTAGATTAAGAAAAGAAAATATACAAGACCAATATAGCAAATGGCAGCCAATCCACTAGGGCTTGAAATGGAGTTAGTTTGACCTAAGATCCAAAGGGTTTGGATTTGAATTTAGAATCCAAATTAAAATTTAGGTCCTATATGGATTTTCCTTGAAATATTCATCATGGATTCGGGTAGGATTTTGATATGAGCAAACATGCAAAGAATCGGGTTTAACCCAAGCTTCAAACCAAATCAATCATACTTTACCTCCTTAGAATCCTAATTGGACTATAAGGGTTAAATATGGATCATCTTTGTAGGATTCGAAACAGATTCAGATCTTGATATTAAAATATGGATCTGAACTCGGATTTACATGAATCCGCTCCTGATCCGCTCAATTTAATTCCCAAACTCCACAATTGGTAAGTAATACGCCATATTGTGTACTGGTATAATATATTTTCTTTTTCTTATAAATAGTGACACATTACCATATGCACCTCAACACATACCTGGATTTCCTGAATATGGCCTCCTCAAAGGAAGAGTTACAGGATAATTACTGTAGTAATCCTATAGTTGCATTAAAAGTATGTACTAGTAAGTATGGAAGGGGAAGTGCAATTCAAACCAGGAAAATAGTAACTAAAGAAATAGAACTATGGAACAGAGTTGTGGTTTAGCTACCCATGGTTCCTTGTATTCTTTTTCCAGCCTAAGGCCTGAAGCATAGGCACCACCACCTGTTGAAACACATCTGCAAGTTAATTGAACGGGAAGCATCTTTAGCAGCTAAACGTACATGGTGAGAAATAGAATTACTTACCTTCAGAAGCTCTGTTAATACCAATGCCACTCTTAGGAGCACCATACGATTTTATAGAACTTGATCCACCTCCAAAACCAAAGGCAATTTGCGTTGGTGCTACTGCAAATTGTATTAGGCAGAAATGATATGAGAAGTATTAGTCAACGAACCTGTAGTTGTCATCCACCACTCAGTTCTTTCAAAGAGAACAAGTATAATAGATAATGCTATTTCATTAGCAAGCATTCTCCTGATATTAATAGATCAATTCAAGTACAAATCACTAAAATGAAAGCGTCATGAAAAACAAAAAAAAAAAATTTATGCAAGCCTATCATTCGATCTGGTTTTATCAACTCCCTAAGATTGGGGTTGTTTCAGCACTCCAATATTGGAATGCAACTATAATTATCTCTATACAAACTCATGTTTGCATCTTTATTACCATTAGATCATAATTCCATAAAAGAGTAGCACAGTTGCTTGAAGATTTGTTTGGCAAGTAGGAATATAAGAAAAAGATGTTTGATTTTGATTTTTTTTTAAGGAAAAATCAAATCCTTTGCCCGAGCGAGTGAATGTAAAGCTTTTAGGAGGGCTTTAGGAAGCTTGTAATTGAGAAAAGGAAAAGGAAAATAAATAGTATGTAAATACTAAAATTCAGATCTTGACTTGAGTCATAGGCATTCCAACCACGATCTTTAAAAATTAAATGCTTTTTGATTCACGTAGGATTCACTACGCTTTCTTACAATATGATTCAACCTAGCAATTCATATCTAAGAGGGAAAGCGAATGGTGAATCATAGGATTTTAAAAACCATAATCAAATGTCTCTCTATAGTCTATAATGCTTCACCTAAGCATATAGGCAAGAGCCTCACACAAATTCAGCTCCATGATTGGAAGCTTTAAAATCTTGAACAAGAAACAAGTACACCCTAAAGTCACACAGAACCCAATGATGGTCCCAACAATGTTTGCATAAAAGTAAGAGACACAGAGAAAATTTCAATGAAAGATAATCCTTAGAGTAAAAAATAATAATACAATATAATAACTAGAACAACCATACATAACAATGGCATTCAGATCTTAATCAATAAGAACTGAGTAACAAAACCTCAAAAAGAAACTTACATTTCTTTTCAACTTTAGGCTTTCCCCTCACAGAAGCATCCTATAAGAGAAAGTCAATGGTGAAGAGTGACACAAGCAAACTAAACCAAGAATTGTACTCATCATACCAAATGAAAATAACAATGTGAACATATACTTTGAAGCGGCGCAACAATTCCTCTGCTTGGGCAGCATTATCGTCAGCAGTTTCAATCTTTTCACTGCAAAACAAGTTCACACAAGTTAAAAGGAAATTCTACTAAGCAATGAGATCCATGTTCTTATTTTAAGTGAATATTGTATTACCTTTTAGGCACAACAGACTTTTGCAGCCTGCGAGGAGGACCCTTCGGAGCAAATCTCACCTGCAATCAAAGCAATTCATGATAAAATTATAGGAAGACTAAATTTTTTTCACATGCTATATTTGGGGTATAGGAAGGGCATTGTAACAAACCTTCCTAGGGGCTTTAGTAGTAGTATTCCCAAAAGGCTCTGGTTCCATCAGAGTTGAATGATCAACTTCTGCTAAAAAATGAAGTCGACAGTTACACCATTTTTGTTGATAAATAACTTAACTGGTACAAGACCAGATAGCATAACCAAATTTGCTTACAAACAAAATAGACAAAAGTTTCGGTAAGTAATTACAGTGAATACTTTATGTATGACAAATCAAGGTAACCCTTTAATTCCAATTGGCAGCAGGTCCTTGCAAAATCAACTTACAAAGATATACGCATACGCACCTATACATATACATTTACATGTAATCAAAGAGAAGGTAGGATTTTGGGAGATTTAAGTCATTAATCATATAACCCACTTGTACTTCGAATCCATTTTTCTCAACAAAAAAAAAAAATTATAATAATCAATAAAGCTACCTAAGGGGGGAACAATTAACCTTCAACAGAAGGTATCGATGATTGAATGATTCCGAACTTTTTCACATCAATGGATTGAATTCATCGTTCAATGTAGGTACGATTTTAACGAATTAATAAAAATCATATATATATATACACATACTAGTGTGTGCAAATAATTATACACAAATGGATCCCAAAAAAAGCATGATACGATTGCATACATACAGAAATGATATAGAACTTCAATGAAAACTGAATGAAGAATTAGAACCAACCAGCCTCTGTCAGTAACAATGGTTTGTTAGGGTTTCGATTCTCTCTCTAAATATCTGTGGGTTGTTTGGGTATCGATTCTCTCTCTAAATCTCTGTATCTGTACATAAGTCTTATATAGATCCATTTGTTTCTCTCTCTTTCTCCTGGTGCAGGGCAAGGGTTTAAAAGAGAAGCACAGTCGTACCGTTGAGGGTGGTTCGGAGATGGAATTTGGGCTGCCCAACAACCCAAGCCCGATTATCAATCGAAGAACCTATATTTGTCACAAAGCTTATTTGATCTCCTTAAATAAGATGGACCTGTCAAGGCCTAACTCCAGAAAATGGGCATGGCTTAAATTTGTTTAGAGAGAATAGGAGATGGATCAGGTGGGAATGGACAATGCTGCATTGCATCCAAGTGGGCCAATTAGTCGCGATGATGGATCAATTAAAATCGTAATTAAAATTGGAGTAATGGTATTTGTACTGATTTGTTGCAATTAATTACCAAATTAAATGTTTCTTATTAATTATTTTTACACCATACATATAAGTAAGAGAGCCATTTCTTTATTTATGCATAAATGGACCAATTAAAAGAAATAGATATGACAATTCACTACAACAATTGGGATAAATAAAGGAGCGGGCCCTCCACTCACATGTATTGGCATAAATAACCAATCAGAAACATTCGATTAAGTAATTCACTATAACAAATCGGTACAAGTATCATTACTCTTAAAATTTTATTTTATTTTTTTTGATAGATGATAATAGTGTCAGGCCTCTAGAACACACCCTATAATCAAGTTCACACAGTTAATTTTATGTAATTAGGGCCTATTTTGGACGCGTTCTGTTTTGACTTAAAACAAAATAAGTATTTGGTTGTAGCGTATTTTGAATAGTAATAGAAAACATAATTGGTTCCATTTGTTGCAATAAATTTGAACCAAAAATATTAAAACATGTTTGGTAAAAAAGTGTTGCAAATTTGAAAAATAAAATGATTAGTTTAAAAATGTCATTTAAGAGTCTTTCAAAAAAAAGAAAAAACTATTGTTCATCGCTACAATACCAAACGCTACATTGCTGAAACATATAAAAATACTAAATTGGTGTTGTAATTTTTAACCTTTATTCACTAAACATTTCGGCACTGTACAAAACAAAATAATTTTTTTCAGATAAATTTTTTCCACAATTTATTACTACATTACCCGACAAAAATAAAAACATCAAAAACCAAATACGTAGTAAGCATGCCTTAATGTTTTGTTTCTGAAAAGAAAGCTTCTTCCTTGTTTTGAATCAATTTTTCCTCAATTACCAAAAGAAAAAGTAATCAAGTTTAACTCATGAACTTTTACTTTTAAAAAAAAAAAAAGGAATAGAAATTGCTTAATGCTATAGAAAAGCTGGGTTGACAAATGAAGGGGTGTAATTTGTTTTTATTATTATTAATATATTCACACCTTGACAAAAAATTTACTCTCATTTTTGCTCGCGAAAACTTTATGTAAATAGTACAAAAATTAAATTTGTCTTTGGCTTTTTTTTTTGTTTTTGTCCGTAATGCAAAATATGTACAAAGTAGTGTTAGAAATTAGATTAGGAGAAAAAAAAAGGGAAAAAGTAGAAGGAAAAGGATTTCCCTCGTTGCTTCCTGGCAGGCCATAAGCACTTTATCAGACATCCAACCAATATTAGTTACTGGTTTGGGAAAGAGAAAAGACATAACAATTCCTTGTGTCCACTCAGCTCATATAAGAATATATATTCTGATTTTCCTCTATCCACAAATGTAGTCCTCTTTCCTCCCCTGATTTTCCTCTTATATATCAATATTTTGATTTACTGTCTGTCACTATAAACTTCTTCCTGATTACACTAGGTGCAAGTTGAGCGGTTTAGTCTAGTCCCTTCTTGAATTGGGCTTGCATTTTTAGAAGTTTGGGTTGAGATTGTGTTGAACCCAATTCGGGTTGGCCTTGGGTTAGAACTGTTCTAACCCGATCCCAATCCATCCAACCCGATTTTTATTTTTTTAACTTTTTTGTTTTCCCAGCATAAAAAAAATCCTTCTGCTCAAAGAAAAAGCCACCACCACATGCCGCTGCCTACCTCCTCCTCTGCCGCCGCTGTCTTCCTCCTCCACCTCTGCCTCCATTGCCATTGTTTCATCTTCAATTTGGGTTGTTTGGCTGTGATGGTGTGGTTGGGAGTGAGTGATGGAAATAAAAATGATGTAGACAAAAGGTGTTGTTTGGTTGTCATTTTTTTTTTTTAACATATCTCTAAATTGATTGATGGCGAAGAGTATTGAATGATGCGAATAAACGGTTGTGTCGTTTGGCTTTGATTGTGTGTTTTGGGGTGGGTGGTGAAAAATAAATAAAATTTTATTTGGTTAATTATTTTTGAAACTCAAATTGAAGATTTTAAATCTTTTTATTTTTCTTGTTGAATGTTTATAAGGTTTGATGAGATCCTTTAGATGCAAGAATGAACGGTTAAGATTAAGTTCTAATTTTTTTTTTAAGGATCAATTGTGGTGAATATGTGTAATAAGCAGACAGGAGAGAGATATTAAGCTGCCCAATCTAAAAAATATTTGGATTTTGTGTTCATGGGCAGACCCTATTTTGAACCTTCTTTTAAAAAAAATTTATTGTACTTATATCATCTTATTATATTTTTATAAAATTTTAATATATATTCTGCCTTTGCAATGATATTTAAAAAAAAAATTTAAATTAAATTCAAATAGGGAATAAGAGGGGAAAAAAAATTTAGGCCTACTGATGGTTGTTTTGAGCGGGGAACGGGTCGACCCATATACCACCCAACCTGTGAATATTCAGATTGGATCTCCCGGGTTGAAGCCCAAGTTTGAATTACATCTGGTTGGCCCAACCCAATCCAAAGTCGGGTTGAGGTTAGGTTTGGCTTGGGCCGGGCTGGGCAGGCCCAAGTTGCACCCAACACTTCCATTAATCAATCAATAGAGAAAACATTTATTTTCCTTTTTCGGTGCGAGGGCAGGCCCGAGTAATATGCCCCAAAAACAACGGTAGTTCACGAATCACGATTGATGAATCCATCAGTTATTGAATCGGATAAAAATCGCCACCCTTTTCCCTAACCAATTTCAGACACAAGTCTCACACATCTCTAGGTTTGGTGGAGCTCAACACCATACAAAAATGACTGCAACACTCTCTGCATGGGCAGTAGTAAAATCTAAAGAACTAGAATGTAAATTGATGCCATAAAGTATCATTCATATAAGAACTCATGTAGGGCTGGTTTGATCATATAATATTCATATTCAAGTTCATCTCACCAAGCTGCATTCCCATTTCATGCTTTCCACCCGTTTATGATCTCAAATATCGATTAGTGCTGGCAGGCTTGCACCACAATACAAGGAAAATAAAATTTTGTATTACAGGTCCGAAAAAGAGCAGGCTTCAAGCGAGTCATGAAGTGAACCTTAGATACCATTTTCATTTAAAAGGAAGATGCAGTGATAAAAGAACATACAGAATTGAAAACCGCTGTCAACTAATTTCTCACTGACTGAGCTGTTGCTATTAGTTGGGCCATGATAGTAGCATACTGAACAGCTGTATGTTGTGGAGTATAGTGGTCTGCAAGGCCAAACTCAGAAAAATTTGTATCTATATGCGTAAAATGACCTGGTAAGGATCTTTTCGACAGAGCTTCTTGCCATATATCAGAGAACTCCTCCATGATTTGCCGGGATTTATCCAAGGACGAGATGGGAAGATACTCCATCTGCAAAGAAACAAGCAACTCTTGAAGATCTATGATTTGACCAAATACACAATTCTCATGTGAACTTTTACCTACTATTAACCTCCAACTGCTGGTGAATAAAGCTCTGCAAGAACGGTAGGATGATTCCGAATTTAACAGGGGGACAACTTTTAGAGATAAAAATTACACTCAACAAACAAAGAGAGAGAAAAAATAAATAAATAAACCATTATTTGAAGACTAATAATTTGGTGATATTGGAGTTTCTGATGAAGTAGAAAGATGACTGGTGATCATTTTAATTCATCTCTTCATCTGTGGAAGTACTTGAAATGCATATAGCCACCAGGTAGCCACACAATCACCACAGATTTTTCATTAAATACCAACAATTTAACAGACATAATTAGAAATCATTTTCAAAATATGGTCAATACTCAATAAAGGCAGCCATGCCTTATGATGTCAAGTGATAGCTGGTGAAGAAATAACATGCCCATAAAATGTTGAAGGTGAGATGAAAATGTAAAGATGAATGGATGATAATGTAGTATAAAAGAAATTAAGAATCAATGCATTCTTGAGAAGCTAGATATAGCAATGCAGCACCAACTGAAGGCAAGATATTAAAAAATCATTTTAAATGGTTTGAACTTTGAATATGTACACCAAGAGTTGGGGATTGTTTTAGCAAATTGAGTAATGCCACATTAGATCTCAGGCAACATAAGGGCCAGAGGTTCTATGTAACAAGAAGAAGAGTTCGTAGTGGGAAGTTAATAGTTTGGTTGTACAGTTGTACAAATGACAAAACGGGGTTGGGGTCAATGTCCAACAAAGGCATCAACAATTATTGCCTTGGGGAAATTGGTTTTGAGAAGTCATGCACAGACCAATGAAGAGCCAAGTCTTCTGGAAAGTGATGTGTAATTTTTCTCAGCTAAACCAGAAAAAACATTTCAATCATCCATTCCTTCAAATCCTTCTTCAACATTATCAAGGATGAGATGTGCTGCCCTTCCATTTTGCAGAAGGTCGTTCGTATTTAGTTGGCAACTGAAACCCCTTCAAGCAAATTGCTTTAGGAAAGAGCATATTAACCAACCAATCTGGTATAGATGGGAAAGAGAATTATGTGTCTCTCATAAAGCAATGGAACATTTATTAATCCTGGGAAAAAGTTAGAGAAGTAATAAATTCTTTGGGTCCTTAGCAATAAACAGTTCAAAGGCACAATATTTTCTGATATCCTAGAAAAATTCAAGAAGTTGTTTCATTGAATCTGCTGCTCAGAATTGCATTTTCGAAATCCAACACCTAAAGTTAGTCAAGCTAAACATTGACAGATGCTTTCTCAAGAAATTCACTGCATCTCATCTAGCTCAGAATAACATGTGATTTTCTCCCACAAAGCAATTCAGCAGACAGGAAAGTTTAATAAACACTAATTTAGATCTTAGTACTTTATTTAGTTTAATCTTTTAATTCAAATTGCCAAGAATCATCTACTTATCAAAAATAATAAAAAACAAAAATAAAATTGGCAATAATCATCTGTGCTGCCTTTTCGATAGCTTTAAATACTGTTTTAACCATTGGGAAAATTATTTATTTCGGATGTTAACACATGGGATGAACAATGAAATTGGTGAAAAACAAATAAATAAATAAAAGTAGTGACACCTTTTTAATTTTGACTAAAATAAAGTTTTAAGGTACCTCGTACACCATATTGTTATACCCCTAACGATGGTAAGCAGAAGTTTTGTCCAATCTAACAGTGGTTAAGAGTCAGAATGAAACAAATAATTAGACTGGAAGAAATAAAGGTCAAAATACAGATTGCAATATCCATCAGCATTTAACCAAAAATAAATAAATTTAAAATAAGAGGGAAGTTTCTTAAACAAACTTGAGAGAATTCAAATTTCAAAATATGGATTGATCATACAACTCCAAATCCCTAAGACTCTTAACAAATGCTATCCTTTCCATATCAAGAACTCTAAAATATATACCAACTTTCCTAAAAATGCAAAGAGGTAACACCTTATTAATTTTCAACATCTCATATGATGCATAAAATTTATGATGGTTGAAATCAATGCACTATGTATTTGAAGTTTTTAAAAGTTAAAATGTAATGAGAGCTAAGTACCTCCATAACAATGCCCCTCAAGCTTTCAGAGTGCATAGGAGCGACTTTCCCCACTCTCAACTGGAAGTCGCCAAGCTGATATTGAAATCCCTACATAAATCATAGCCCATGAGTTGTCAAAAAAATAAAAAAATAAAATAACAATATCACGGAATAAGAAATTTTGGCAATTTTTGCTCTAGTTGTTAAGCTTCTTTGAGTTATTAATATTCAATAAAGGGAGAAAATTTCCAAAATCTAAAAAATGATGGATAACAAATGCTGAATTTTTTTGAGAAACTCATTATCTTACTCTCAGAAATATGCTTCTTTTCTTTTATTAAAGTACTTTGACAAAGTTTTTGCCTTGCAAAAGAGATACCAAGCAAATCAATCAAAAATAAAGTTTAATTGAGTAACTACTATAAGAATTTGCCCATTTCCAATTGTAAACTGAAAAGCATGCCTGACATATATATTTATTTGAATCAAATCAATTCAATTATTCAAATGCATGTAAGCAAATCTTTGTGAAAAGGAGGACTGATTTACATTTGACAGGTGGGCATTAAAGCAATGCCCGTGGGTACAGTCAGCTAGTGGATCCCGACATGATTTTTAAAGCTCGTGGCATGATGCTTTAGTATCCATCTAGTTTTCAATTTTGAGGGCATGGTGTAAACAACTGTTGCAAATATGTGTGTGTGTGTGTTGGTAAAATGGACTTATATTTCATGATAAATAAAACAATGGTGTGATCGCATTTTCTGCAATATGTCTAACCATGTATAGGTATATAATTTGCCAATATGAATAATATATTCTCTTAAAGTACCAATATAAATTACTACCCTACTAAAAACAATAGCCTATCACCAGATATAGAAGATTTATACCCTATTTGACAATAATAACTGTGTCTTGATCACAAGAAAACATGGCTCAAAAAGATTTTTAAAAAGACAAAAAAACAAAAAAACAAAAAACAATGCAATTATCATTTCTATGGTATACACAACTCATATAACCTATCATGCTTTAATCAACCTTGATATCATGTTGCATCTCCCAAAGTGTGATGTTCAACTCTAACAACCCTATTGCTACATAATAAGCAAAACAAGAGCACTCACATGTTTCTTAATTTGCAAAAAAAATAAAATAGGTGAATCCATTCTATTCAAGAATATAATCATACTACTTCACACCAAGAAATGTTCCACGAATCAACAAATTTATGTAATAATTTACTAACCTCGAAATTAAGTCCCACCCTCATTTTGTATGATTGCAGTTTCTCCATTATCATCTGAATTGTCAGTTCTGCCTCAAGAACTATCTTTTGGCCGCGAATTACAAAGTAGTACTTATTGGGCTGCTCAGGCAGTGAAATCCCCAGGAAATCGCGAGGAAATTCGCTCGCCGTTGCTTGTTCTGATGGGTAGTAAATATTTTGTATACAAGATTAGAACCCAATATATACATAGATACATACACACACATATATATAAAGACAAATACCTCTAAGCATAGGTTTGTAATAGGTGAGGGTAGATTTCCACCTTCCTTCCTTGACGCCATTGATGCTCTCAACACACTGAGAGACTTCGTTGAGGATTTGACTGTTAACAGTCGTTCCAGCATTTGGTTGCCAGTGCAAAACCCTAATAAGAATTTTTTCCAGTAAGAACCCTAGAGAGAATTGCAGGATAATTGTTGTTTATGTGTGTGTTTTTGGTATGTGTACTGATTGACAGATCCAAAAAGATAACGCTAATTCAGAGTAGATTGGGGTTTCGTCGTTACCATTTGACAGGCATTGGTCGGAGATTCACCGTTACCGGTGACAGTGCCACTGCCAAGTGACGTCGTTCAACCTGTTGCTTTGGCTTCGCTCCTCCAATGCTGTATCTTCCTTTCCTATTGTATGATAAGTTTAGACTTTAGGATCACGGGCCTTGCCCGGTGATATGATCCTTTAGCTTGGTTGGATGATAGACAATTATGTTTTGTTTGGTTGGAGGGATGAAAAAATAGATGGAAAGGACAGGGAAGGGATGGATGAGATATTTATAGGGAATGAAAGGTGTCTTTTCTCATTTTTTGTTTGGTTGAAAGGGAGGGAAATAGAGTTTTTATATTTTTTTTACTAATATGCCCTCCATATTTAAAAATTTAAAAATTCTATTTCTATTCCAAATTTTTAGGAAGGTTATAAATGGAAAATCGATATTTGTTTTAGTTATTATTTCTTTCTCTTTCCTCTTTCTCCCAATTTTGGACGGATAGAGAAATACAAAGGAAGGAGGGATGAAGCATCCCTCTTTGCTTCCTCTCACTTTTCCCTTCCCTCCAACTAAACACTAAAAAGTTAGTTTATCCCCCTCTTATCCATCCCTCATCAATCCTTCCCTCCAACCAAACATAGCATTAAAGTCTCAAAAGAATAAAATAGGCGTAGGATAGTAGGAGTGGTGCGTGGGAATATCTTGCTAAAATAAAAATAGGACACTAGTAAATTCAAGAATCTTATAAATAAAGGGAATGAGAAAGGGGTATAGAAATTGATAATTCTATAAAGAAAAATGATAGGCCTTCCGACGTTAATTGTCGAATATTCTTACGAATATAACGTGGTTGGATCCCATTAGAACTCTTAAAAAAAATTCCGTAAACATCTCTTTCTCTTCTACTCATTCCCAACCACGTTATACTCGGAGGAATAGTCGGCAATTAAAGTCGAAAGATCTATCATTTCTCTTCTATAAATATAGAATTGTAGAAAGAAATACAAAAACTCTGCAATAAGTATATCCAAAGTCATGATGTTGTTCCTCAAATTTAACAAAGAACAACAAGCACATCAAAATCGTGTCGTTCTTTCTCCATAATTCAACAAGTTTGAAGAATCGCCAAACAGCACTGTTCGATATCAAGCTTCGTCAGCCCTTGATCAGAAATAATTGGCAGTCTTCCTCAACTACGTATACTTGAAAAAGATTGTCAGTAGCCTGATTTAAAATCAAGCTCCAATAGCCCTTGGATCTAACCAACAAAAGAGATCGAATCAGAGGATATTTTCTTTATTTTGTAAATAATACCTGAGAAGATTGTACTCAAATTTTTATAAATCAATATTATTTGCCCCATATTTCGTTATTTGATTTGCAGATACGAAATTTGTGTGTACAGGAATATATAAAGTGCACAACTTTTGCGAGAAAGTTAATTTTCATGTGTTTTATGCATGAAAAAATTTGCGAAAAAATTTCAGATGCGAGAATCCTATTTTCTCCAAATAACAAGTGTTAAAGTTTTAAAAGAAAAGAAAATAACGACTAAAGGGAATAGAAATTGGGCCTTCCCCATTCTCTCTCACATGGCGATATATATTACTTATGTGTTTTGAATCTAAAATCAAACAATGTTTTTCGCTTTAGTGAATCGGACCATGTGAATTGTGAGTTGAATTAATCAATGGCTACATCTGCATCTCAGGACAAATAGTTCACCATTCCACCGTTAGTAGCCTTTGAGTCCGTACTTCTCCACATCGATGTCATCCTTTATGGATGGTGGTGGTGGTGGGCTAATGTACCACTCGTGTTCATCTTCAGTGGTGTCGTATTACAGCTCCGGCAATGGGTTCAACTCCAAATCCATGATGCCGAGTTAGACTTTAGAACAATTCCATGGACCTTATACGCTAGTGGAAAAGCCATTTGAATAGGGTCAATTGAGTTTTTTTTAAATATAATAATAATAATAATAAGAGTGTTAATTGCAGTTGCACTCTTAATTGGTTGAGAATTGAGATTTCTAAAATTATATGCTAGTCAATTAAATGTCTCATATCATTAAGAGACCTTTAAAATATAAATTTATAGATAAACAGTGCCCTTTTAATATTTAATAATTTATTCTTTCTCCTCATTTGGATGGCGTGTATATATATATAAAACACCTAAATTATTTTATTTATTTATTTATTTATATATTTTTTTCTCACACTATACAGTATGCGTATACATAGATGTATATATAAAAACAACACCTTTTCTTTTCTTTTCTTTTCTTTTCTTTTCTTTTTTGTATAAAATTAAAACGGCACTTTTGTTTTATAAATCTATATTTTAAATGTCCATAATGGTAGGAGGTATTTAATTAACCAGCATGTAACTTTAGAAATATTAACCAATTAGGAATGCGACGACAATGCATGTACGAGTGCAATTAGCACTCGTCCAACAATAAATACAATAAAATTCAGGGTGAATTACAGTAAGACTTTATGAGGTTATGTCATTTTTCACCTATATGAAGATTTTGGTTTTAACTTTCACTCACATCCCAATTTACTTTTTGAACTCTGACATATATGAATGGACCCTTTTATCCTTAATTTTTTAATACAATTTAATACCAAAAAAATTATAATTATAAAGACAAAACTACCCCTCTGCATCTAAAACACACAAAATGACATCATACACCCAACACCCCTCTCTGTTGCCGACCTCACCTCGTTGCCGCTCTTTGCAAATTGTCTTCTTTTGCCGATAATAGGTAGAGAGATCATCACCACCCATCACCCAACACCTCCGCCGCCCTACCCATCACCACCGCCCCTGCCCAACACCTCTATCACTACTAAAGACTTTAGGCAAACAGAGGCGAAAGCCAGAGTGCGCTGGTAGCAAATTCATGCTTAAAAACAGAAAACAGACCCAATCTATATAAACCATGTATTCTACATATACATAGGTGTCTAATACCTTGTCATGTATAATCAGACATTTAAATCAATTAATCAAGTTTCTTAGATTATATGGATGTCGATAACCATAAGGAAATACCGGGTTGGGCCAGAACATTAAAATGAAGAAATGTTGGGTTGGTCTGGACTTTGGTGAGGTCACGAATTTGGGTAAAAAAGTTTGAGTCAATAGAGATTGCTCATTATACTGAATTTGTTGTTTATTTTTTATTTTTTATTGTTGACTGTTAATGAAGGAGAGGTGTTGGAGTCTTGTAACTAAGCTTTGGATCGGAACTTCTCATTCTCTCACCTCACTGTTTATCGCACTGTATCGTCCCTCCACCCCACTCAATTCATCCACCACCTCACTCTTTCTCTCTCTAAAAATGAATTTTTTTTAATCAGGAACAAGAACGAAAGAAAGGATCTGATAGACCCATCATAATTTTAGTTTGGCTCCCCTGTTTGGCTGTTTTGTACGTGTGTTTGTGTGTCTATGTTTTGTGTATATATATATACATATATATAGATATATGTGTATATATTTATATATGTTTGGCTATTTTATATATCTATAAAGATATGTATATGTGTGTGTAATTTTGAGGAGTTGACTTTTGTGTGGTCGTGGTGCGAATGGCGATTGGGGATGATGATGGTATGAGGAAGAGGAAGGTGTATGTTGGGATAGTTTGGTCACAAAAATAGTCAACAGAAGGTCAAAGGGTAGCATAGTTATTTAACACCTCAAAAGTACTATGGCCCTATCAAAAATTGACATTTGGGGCGTAAGTGAAATATTAAACAACTAATTCAAATATAAGTGAAACCTAAAACCAAAATGTTAATCTAGCTATCAAATGACTTAACATAAGGGGGTTTGAGTGTAATTTATCTTAAAATTTATTATTCAAGAAGAAACTCACATGCAAAATATAAACTATCTAACAAAACTATTACGACAACAACAATCAAGTATCTTTCCCATCTACATGGACCAAGGCTAACCATACAGATCCTATATTTATATCCTGTAATAAAGTATCTCCTGCTAAATACTAACTCAGGTTTAAAAAAATTATCCTGCAATAAAGTATCTCCTACTAATTTATCATATGTTAAATTCATAATATAAAACACTATTATATATATACTTTATTTATTAATTAAAAAATTTAAATTACATGCAATGCAATCAATACACGCACTTTTGCATATACAATGTTATATTTTTATATAATTTGTTTTTTAAATTTTTTTTTATTGATTAATTCCAAAATATGTGACTTGTCCAAAAGTGATTGAATTTTCTCGCAACTTTTTTCAATAGGGTCAAGTAACCAGAAAGGAAAAGAAAAAGGAAATATTTTAATTTTATATGTTATTTAGAAGGATATCAATGCACTTTTTAAATTTGAAAATATGTTAAATTGTATATAAAAAATAGAAAATACAAACACTTTCAATATCAGATAGATGTAAGTGAATGACCCCTAAAAAATTATTCGAGGGCTGGGGCAGCTTGAATGACAATGAGTTTATTTATTTTTCTTTCAAAACTATCATAATAAGGAAACACAAATGAACATTAATTAATATTTCAACAAATTTTCATATTTTAAGGACACGGCATGACAATTTTATTATTTATATTATCATTTTTTTTTTTCAACATATATATTCACTAAAATTATGATGCATCTATTAATTTCTTGTTAGATTGCACAATTAATTGTTTACAATATGGGTAGCAACAAATTGTAGTGAGGCGGTTATTAGTATGGATGGGGGCGGTAAAGATTGAGAAAACGAGAAAGTACTCACTTAACTATTTTATAACATCCCTAATCGTTGTGTACATTTTTTTTTTTTTTTGTGTAAATTTGATGTGTAATAAAAGATTTACACACAAATTTTGGATTATTTATTTTTAACTCCAGCGGTTGTTTTATACATTTTTTGTAAAAATATATCCCCAATAACAACCAACCAATGTCATGCCTGGACCCCACATAATTTTTACAAACCTACTTAATATAGGGTTGATTTGTTAATGGAATGAGAAAGAGGGAAGAAAAAAGAAATATGCTGATATGTTTATGTAAAAATGTTGTGTAAAATATATAACAATTTTACACATTGGTGTCATGGCGCAGTGTATCTAAACATACGGCTGGAGAGAGAAAAAAAAAAAAAAATGTATTTTAACAAAGGGCTGGAGATGCTCTTAGAATATTAGATAAAACAAAAATAAGTCGGATATTTTCAAAATTAAATGGGTTTATTTTTAAAATTTTAACAAAAATTATAGGTCATAATGTGAATCAAAAGATTCCAGTGAGGCAGAAGCCCCTAACTCAACAATTTTTCTAAATGCAATACTCATTCCAAATACCAATTTTCATTATCATGTTTGGTAAGTGTAACATGTGGACGCTTGCCTATTTATCCAAAAGCTTAAGTTATTGGGTAGTGTTGCATACCCACCCATTTATACACACTTCAACCCTCATCCAAATACTGTGTGTGACAAGTCTCACTTGTAACATTTTCCCCCACCCGAACCCACACAACGCCCCTTGTTGCGGTAGGGCCACCCTGCCTACTCGAGGCTAAACCAGGATGCCCTCTGGGCTGAAGGCTTGGCGTGACACCGGATTAAAGATTGGGTTTGGCTCTGATACTAACTGTAATGGGTGGACGTTTGTCCATTTACCCAAAAGCCCCAATTGTTTGATAGTGCTGCATACCCACCCATTTATACACACTTTAACCCTCTCTCCTTGAACTTTTACTTTTGCACAAAAACCCTCGTATGTTAAAAAAATATACATGTACCTCCCAATTGTTTGTCAAGCATTACAAGAATGACGAAAAATTGTCATTTTAGAACTGAAATATCTATAATACTATTTTTGTTTATATATCAAAATGACCTCTAACTATTTTTAAATCCAAGAATTAACCAGCAATATAAATGATTTATTCATATTTTATACTTAACACACACACTTCTATGGTATACATTTTTCAACCAATAAATGATAAATGTCAAATTAAAGGGTAAATTACATTAATCAGGTTTGGGCAAATCTTACACAAGTGGAGCGTTTAAGGTTTATTATTTTGACCTCCTTTGAGATTTAGGTGTATACTCAACAACCCTCTCACCATCAAAACTTGAATTTTTTTTTATAAAATGACCAAATTGCCCTTACACTTATTTTTTCATTTATTTACGAGCTTTTTTTTAGGAAAGAGAAACAGTGGTAGAAAGAAGAAATAAAGTAATAAGAGAGATGAGATAGAATATATATATATTTTTTATTTTATAATATTGAAGATGCAAGAAATTGCTCTCTGTATTAGGAAAGTAATTTATTACACTTCACACCATCTCATTCTTTCCATCTCTTTCACTTATCCTAATTCCTCTCCCAAAACTCTCAATTATTTTCAATGGACCTCATCTTTGGGCCGTAGTGAATGGAAGTCTGTCATGCAATGCTGAAAAGATTGGGGCTAGACGTGGTTGAATCGATCCTTAGGCCTGGTGGGTCGTTCTGAAAAATGGATCAGCAGTCCAATAATGTTTTGGGCTGAGTGGACTGGCCCAAAGACGGCCCGGTCCACTTTATGCCATTTCAAATATATTAGTATTATAAAAATATATTATATAGAAAGGTATAATTGACTTTTAATAGTCTAAAGAAATGTGAGAGTAATAAATCTCAAAAGCGCCACTCATGTGAGATTTGCCTAAACCACCGGGGAGGTATAATTTACCTTAAATTAAATATAGACCCTAAAAATCGAGGGGTGTTTTATCTGTTAATCTCTGTGTAAGGGGTAAGTGCAAAAAACACCCCTGAAGTATACCTTTGATAGCATTTTTACCCCCTATTTAAAAAGTTGTGCAAAAAACACCCCTATTCTTTTTAATTTGTGCAAAAACACTCCTCAATTAATATAATACCTATTTTACCCTCTTACTCTTCCAAAAATACCCCCACCAAACATCATTTTCTCTTTTAACCTTTCTTTCTCCAAAGGAGAGTTGTCGATAGACCGATGAGAAGTTAGAACAAAGGATGGTTCAGTGGGTTGGCAAGGATGGTGGCGAGCTCCGGAATTGATGGGTCGGACTGAATAGGACGTTGACGATCAATAGCCCTTAAACCACTCAACCAATATATATATCAATCTACATAAACACAGTTTAATGTTGTTACTCCTCTATTTGCAATTAGTAGACAACACCAATTAGCTTTAGTCAGCGGAGAACTAATTCCAACATAGAAATTCAAATCCAGATTCACATTATCATCCGACCAAGCAAGTGAGAAATATTACCAAGATTTAGAAAACCATGCATTCCATATACATACTGTAAATATATTGATATATATATTAATGGATGTATGGGTAAGATCTTCATGAAACTAAAAGAACCTATATTTCAATGCCATTTAAAGTTTAAAGTGAAGCATGTGAATCAAAAAACAAGTTGGAATCTACTGAATTCTAACCAAATCCCAATTTGCAATAACCAATGATTTCTAAATAAATTTAAATAAATCCTAAATTCCAGTAAATCCAAATCACTCTCACCTTGAAAATCAAGGTTTTCCCAATCCGACCAGCAAGGTGATTCGCAGTACACTCATATCCCTGGTCAAATTCCTCTCAATCGCCACTGTATCGTTGAATACAGTCTGAATTGCGGTCGAGGTCACTAGTGCCAAATCGAACGGACACAATTCAATTTCCAAAAGCAAATGCACATTCAAATCACAAACACCCAACAAAGCTCTCGCGCATGGCACTAGCCGAAACAACTATTTGGTGCTTCCGTTCTTGCTGAAGAACACCAAAGATCGGAATTCGGCGATAATGTTTGGGCAGCAGTGGACCGGAGAAAGTTTAGGAGGTAGCGGTGGTGGCCCACGTAGGCGTCGAGGACGCTGGAGAGATTGAACCCAGAGAGGTTCTTATTGGATTCAGTGCTTTTCTAGGGACTTGGCGATTCGAACTCATTAATGAGGTTGCCGGTTAGAAATCTGATGTTTATGGGTTCGTTATGCTTGCAGCCTTCCACTTGAAATCGTTGCCGCCCTTGTTCATTTTCACAGACTCGTTCTTCGATACTGAAACCCAGATCATGATCGGCCTTATTTGTCAAAAGTATTGTTCCGGCGCCATCATCACAAATTTTTTTTTTTAGCTACCCTTTTTAGTCATTTCATAAAATATTAATTATATATATATATATATATACTATTAAATGTGTAGCTATGGGCATTTTAGTCATAAATGTGTGAATAGGGATTTATCTGCACAAATGTCCTAATTTAGGGGTATTTTTTGCACGCGAATAGTGCAATATGCACTATAAGCATACTATAGGGGTGTTTTCTGCACTTGACCCTATATATAATACAAATGAACTTCACCTTGACCCGCCGATATTGGGTAGACATAGGGCTGCAACTTGGGCGGGCTAACCCAGCCCAACTCAAACCTAATTGGGCTTTAAATTCACAAATCGGGTTCATGTTCAGGTTGGATTTTGTCAAAACCCAGACATATTCGGGTTGGGTTCGGTCTTAACTCGAAACCCGATTTTTTTTTTTTTTCCCCTCTCATTTCTTTCTCTTTCTCTCTTCGCCGCTTGAGAGTTGAGAGACAGTGGCGAGATACACCGGTGCCAGGAACGCCTCTAGAGACGGTGACCTCCTCCGCCGGAGAGACGAGAATATCGCAGCTGATGCCATTCAAATTTCGAACTAGAACAACGGGCGATGGAAATTGAAAGATCTGGGTTCTGATTTTTTGAACAATCTGAAATGATATGCCGATATGGGTTTTGAACTTTTGATTCTTGTAGACAGATAGATAAAACTGAAATATATGGGTTTTGAACTTCTGATTCTTGTAGATTTTGTAATTTGCTGTTCGAGAGAGAGAGGAGAGGGCAAGTTCAGAGAGAATGGAGATGGAGGCGATAGGGGAGGCTGAAATGATGGCGGTGGTGGTGGAGGCATATTTACAGTGATTGTGAAGATGAATGGTTTGATATGCTATGATTAGTAATATAATAATAATAATAGTTTTTTATTTTATTTTTTTACGAGTGAGTAATAATAATAGCCCTTAATAAAAATTTAAGAATAAATTTTTTTTTTTTTTAAATATAATTTCCCTTTTATGTTTTCTTTTTAATTTCCAAAGATAGATTTTTTTTTTTTTTAAAATAGAAATTACGCACTATTGATGTGAAGTTATAATGATTAAAATATCCTTAATGTTAATTTAATAAAATTCAGTTTTATTTTAGATTTTCTTTTCCTTCTTAATTTTTAAAATATATAGACTTAAGAAAATTTTAAAAATTATTTGAAGGTATTTTAAATTTTCTTCTGGGCGCATCTTATAGATTTTTTTTACAAATATAATCCATTGATTTTTTTTTTCAAAAATAGTTTTTAATAAATCTATGTTGAATGAGTTATTCATATTAATTTGAATCTTATCATTGAAAAATAATTACTCAAAGTTGACATGTCCAGTGTCTTTTGCAAATTATAATTTTATACAAGTTTCGGACAATTGCATAAAACCCCAAGACAATATTCCAATAAGTCGGTAGCATTTTTAATAATATAATCAAATATATAAAAAATAATATATTATATATATATATATATATAATATATAAATTTTTAATTTTTGAAAAAAAAAAAAACACTCAACCCGTCAACTCGGCCCAACTCGACCAAAAACATTCAGTTCGGATTATGACCATAATCCCACGTTGAGTATAATTTAAATTGGGTTAGAAATGGACTGGGTTAGGTCAACCCAAGTTGCAGTCCCAGTGTCCTAGGTAGACGTACACGGGTTTCAAGTCTCAAGGTGGACTCGAGTCTCAACCAACCCCAAGCCCCCAAAAGTCCTTTTGATATCAGTTTCAATTTAACATCGCCATATACCCTCTCCTGTTCTCCACCCACGATCCCCAGTAGAACCACAGTACTAGGGTTTATGGAAAAAGGAACAAGAAATTAACAGTTCGATCGATAGTTGAAACCCTAGCGTCGGAATTCAAATGGCGTGTGTGTACATTCCGGTGCAGAACTCCGAGGAAGAGGTCCGGGTCGCTCTCGATCAACTCCCAAGAGACGCTACTGACATACTAGACATTCTAAAGGCCGAACAAGCCCCCCTTGATTTATGGCTTATAATCGCGGTTCGTTTCTACACACACACACACACACACACACATCAATTTACACAAACATATAAACATCGATGGACAAAAACTCACAATCGACGAATATATATATATATATATATATATATATATTCTTTTATAAATGTGCGCTTGGAGATGCTGGGATTCAAATTGAAGATTTCTTTATTTAAAATTTTGCTAATTATTGGTAGGTATGATAAGGAAAGTAGTGTGCCTGAATAGAACACTGGTGTACAAAGTTCGAACCTCCATGTCAAATTTGCTGATTTACTAGAAGTTTTAATTTTTTTTAATCAATACTGATGCAGCGGGAGTACTTCAAACAAGGAAAAGTTGAACAATTCCGCCAAATTTTGGAGGAAGGTTCTAGTCCTGGTAATTTTTCTTTAATAATTTTTGCTTTCTTTTGATCAGATTGCATATATTTTCCAAAGGCTTGGTAAGATTATGAGACAATGTTGTTGTTTATATATATAATGAATGTATATATGATCTGACCCTTGCATTTCTACATTGCAGAAATCGATGAATATTATGCAGATGTGAAATATGAGAGGATTGCCATTCTAAATGCTTTAGGGGCTTATTACAGCTACCTTGGAAAAATTGAGACAAAACAAAGGGAAAAGGATGAGCATTTTATCATGGCAACACAATACTACAATAAAGCATCGAGAATTGACATGCACGAGCCTTCTACATGGGTTGGGAAAGGTGAACATTTATTTGATGCATTTTGTCACTGAAATCCTAGTTGAAAGATTCTATTTTAGGGGGCTATCCAGAATATTTGGATCCTATCATGATTAGGCCTAAATGTGCATTAGACCATTAATGCAATTGCAAGTCAAACCCAGAAAGGAGATACAAAAAAAAGCATGTTTTGAATACATAAATGAACTAATGATCAAATTGATTTACTGGGATATAAGGGTAGTAAACTGTCAAAAATAAGAAACCATGTAGGATTTATAATTCTTTTAGTTTTATTTAGATATTTTTCTATTTTTTAAAAACTCTTTATTTTAAACTTTGAGGCCAGGGAGCTATGAAAACAGTATATAACTTAAAATCTACCTTCTAAAAGAGTGAATTTACTTGATCTGACCATATATATGAACTAAGACTTTTGGTTACTCAATTTTTGACTTTAAGTTCTGAGTTTTATTTTTTTTTTTTTAAATGACCTTTTTTGGGTCAATTAGGTTTTAGAGTTCACTAACATAAATCTTTCATTTGAAGTTAAAATTAAGGTTTGTTGGGAAATCTCTGACTTTCTCGAGTTAGATCCTTACCGGTATGCCCTCATTATGTACTTATGTAACATTGAGAAAATTATGTAATTTAAATATGCCTAAACATTGATAACTTTTCACATTCAGTATGTAAGTTTATTGAATTGGTGAAACAGAAAAATTGGTAAGCATTTATTTCTGTCAACGACTTAAACATTAATGTAAAATGCATCACCCATATTAAATAAAGTTATAATTTCAATAAATTTTTATTAAAAACTATAAGCAACTACATTTTGGTGTTTTGCCGTAAATAATAAGTACACGGTTCTGGTATTTTCATCCTTAATTTGTTACACCCTGCATTAGCATCTCCACGCTGTTACTTAAACCTTGGTAGAGAATGGAAAGAGGAGAAAAATAAATGGCCACCAGTAACTATTGTTAGATGGAAAATTAGTACTCCCTTCGTCTCACAAAAATTGTCCATCTTTCCATTTTTGGCTTTCCCAAAATAATTTTCCCATTTCAAAATCCAATTTACTATTTTTTTAATATTCGTAATTTACCCTTGTTGCCTTGAAGTTATAAAAGCAATTGAAGTTATGTGGACCCACCATAAAAGGTTGTATTTGGAAATTCATTACCTACAACTATAATAAAAAAATAAAATAAAATTTACACTCTTAAAAAGTTAGATTCCCGAAATGGGACACTTTTTGTGGGATGGAGGGAGTATTTAGTAACAAATCATCTCACATTGCACGATGATGTGAAGAGGGTATAGAACTTTTTTTTTTTTTTTTACTAGAAAAAAAGAAGGTTCTATTTCAAAGAGCGGTGGACTAGCATGACACCAAGGTTTTGATCATCTCCCCGGCCGCTAACGCAATTTACTGGAGCGGGGTATTCGGGGATTATGTAATGGACACAGCTGTCATGGTCATGGATCACTATTGGCGCTGCACACCGTAACCCAGAACGCACTAATACATAATTTTAAACTTCACAATAAAAAATGTGTTTTTGATGAACTTTTGTGGATTTTGTTGAATATATAAAAGTGAATTAATATAAATAATGTTATTCATATTGAATTATAAATCGTTGTCTCTAGCGAAAGCTTTTGATTTTTTTTTTTTTTTGACCTTTTCACTTAATTTATGGCCAAAATGCAGTTAAATATGGAAAAGATGTAAAGTTACCAAACACGACACTTTAAAAAAAAATTCTAAGATTCCAGCACATCAATGTCATACACGGAACCTTCCAAAAAAAAAAAAATGTCATACATGGAAGAAACACAAACCACATATCTATAAATCAACTAAAGTTTCTCATACATGTCAAACACTGTTATGTTAGTTCTATTTGAGAAGAAAAGGAAAGTACTTGAAAAACTAATTGATGATTTCAATTATTGAAAGGTTTTGATTCAAAAATTAGGTGGTGTTTGATAAAACTGAAATTTTAAGAACTGAAGTTTTTAGGTGGTAATGGAAATTGAGATTCTTTGTTATCATTTAGTGATAAATGAAATCACGCTCAAAATTTTACCCTTTTTTAAGTGACGCTTACCCTTTGAAGTGATACTCAAATTGCGTTATGAAACAAACTTAATTGGACAACCACCTAATTCATTTAGTTTTTAAACCCCAGGTGCCACACGACCATTATGGCGCCATTTCAGCTTAGTTTTGTGCGAAATAGACTGACCGATTCGTCAGTGAGACTACATACCAATTCTGGCCTAGGCTGTTAAGACTTGGCCGATTCACAGTGGCTTGAATGAGTTTTGAACCTTGCTTAGCACTATATTTTCATTTTTCTATTTTTCCTTACGGTCACACAAGATTTTGTCTATGGTTGGAAAAAGAATTACATTAAATCTGTGAATAAAAAATTTTCAGCTGGTCTTGTGATGTGCTTTTTTGAAAATTTGATTTCAAAATAGTTTGTTAAAGTTGTTAATGTATTGCTGAACCCTCTCTTGTGGTGGGTGGTGATACCATTCCTCTTTGTGAGCCTTATTTGGAAGGATGATCTGGAGATCCAATCCTGCATGTTTCAGTTGGTGGATTGGTGTTACCATCTAAACTCAGTACTGGCATAAATGCTTTTTAAACACATTTGTAGGTCAGCTTTTACTGGCTAAGGGTGATACAGAACACGCAGCTGATGCTTTCAAGATTATATTGGGGGGAGATCCTGATAATGTTCTTGCTCTTCTTGGTCAGGTATTTCCTAGTATCTTGCTTTTTTGCAAACAAAGTATTTATGATTGTCATCAAGGATGGTAGATTATGCTTTTTAGAGTATCTTAATTAATATTAATAAAAAACAGAAGATTATCTTAATTAATGGAGAGTCTATAAATTTGTAGCAGTGACGTAGTTGGTTGATCAAAGAAAATATTATCCTCTAGGCTTCGTTTGTTTCAACATAAATTTTTTTTATAAAAAACATTTACATGCAAAATAAATTTTTATCTTAATATTTTGGTGTTTGGCAACAATCGGAAATTTTATATTTTCAGCAAAAAGAAAAGTGAGACAGTCAGCCATTAACTCTCTTCAGTGTTCCTCTTTTTATCAACCTCCAACAATGCATATCCTCTCTCTCTCTCCAACATCCAATAACCCCTCGCTCTCCAACGCCGCCGCCCCCCCCCCCCCCCCCCGCGGCCGCTCCCGCTCCCCTTCTCTCTCCTCGTTCCTCTCTGTGTGAAGACATCCCTCTCTAAGCTAAACAATTTCTCCCTCCCTCCTCGATCGGTACTTTCTCTCTCATCTCTCTCTGCGAGAACAGGCTCTCTATCTCGATTGATTGTTTTGTTTCCCTCTTTCTCTCTCCTCTCACTCGATGCCGTGTTGGATAAGAATACGTTAGATGACAGAAGGTAGCCTGGGAAAACAACTTACCGAATCTTTTTCGGTAAATCATTTTCAGTCATTTGGGGGTAAAATGATTTACATGGAAAATAATTTCCAACTCTCGGAGTCTCCCAAACACCAGAAAATGAGTAAAATGTTTTCTGGAAAATATTATACGGTGAAACAAATGCTGCCTTAATAGACCAAGTTTTCTTATTTTGCAGTGTGCAATTTTCTTTTTCTCTGGTTTCTTGACTTTCTAGTTTTATTGATTTTGTACTGCAGGCGTGCGTTCATTTTTATCGTGGACTATATTCTGATTCATTGGAGTTGTACAAGGTTTGTTCATTGTCCACTTCATTGTATTTGAGGTGCCATGCAATGTTTCTCGGCTCGTGGCAAGCTGAATCTGAATTTAATTAGTGGGAACCATGAAATATCCTATATCCCACTAAGTATTGTTTTAATGTTTTTCTGTGGACATGATCTCAATTATGAACCCATTTATTGTGCTGCTGTTAACTTGTAATTTATGTGATTTGGTAAGAGGGCCTTGCAAGTGTATCCTCAATGTCCTGGAGCAGTAAGACTTGGCATAGCTCTATGTCGCTACAAATTGGGTCAATATGGGAAGGCAAAGCAAGCATTTCAGCGTGTTTTGCAGGCATGTTAAAACTAATAAGTTTTTTGTGCAATAATATCTGTTATATTGCAAAAGCTGTAAGTTTTTGATTTATTTTGATGTCTAATTGTGTTTCACAAATTAACTGTAGTTAGATCCAGAAAACGTCGAGGCGCTTGTGGCACTTGGAATTTTGGATTTGAATACAAATGAAGGCAAGTTTCTGCCACATGCATGCATAAATACATACATAATGTATGCATGCACTTACATATAAAAAACATATACATTCATGTACATATATTATACACATATATTCCTATGATGGATACTGATTTTGCTTGGTTTAGTTTCATATTTTTGTCTGAACTACACTTTACGAAGTTCACTGTAGTATATAATATGACTCGACTGCTGCATTTATCTTCACAGCTTCTGATATTAGGAGGGGGATGGAAAAGATGCAGAGAGCTTTCGAGATTTATCCATATTGTTCGCTGTCGCTGAATTATCTAGCAAATCATTTCTTCTTCACTGGTCAACATTTTCTAGTTGAGCAACTGACCGAAACTGCACTTGCTGTGACTAATCATGGGCCAACAAAGTCACATTCGTACTACAATTTGGCACGATCATACCATAGCAAGGTATGGACATTTTCTTTTTTCTTGAAAACTTTCTAACTAAGTTCTTCAACTTTTTTGTTGCCCAAAGGAATTATTTTCCCTTTCTTCTCTCTCCTCTCTATCTCATATTTATTAATCCATACTCGTAGATAGGCTGTCCTCATTTTTTATCTTCCAGGATAAGGATTCTTGTGATGAGGCTCAAAAATCAATCTATTGATGACTGTCACTTCCATATTTATAAGATTGTAATGTCCGGTAAAATTGTTGTGCTACTGCTGCCCCAATGTGCTCTGATAAGGTTTATTGCTGACGACCCAGCTTGATTTACTTGTATTTCTTTTTGGCTAGGTTGGTCCCAATATGATAATCTTTGAACGTTCCAGTCATTCTCCATTGCTACTTTATGGCATCTTTTCCAGCTTATCGGATTACTTGAAGACAGATCATTGATTGTCTACTTTTGTTATTTTTTAGGCTTTTTTTTTTTGACTTATTGTTGACTATGCATCAATATTAACATATTAATGTTTCATGCTTATATTAACATTTTCTTGTCCCTTATTTATGCTGATGGTAAGAATGCTGTTTCTTCTTGACTGCAGGGGGACTATGAAAAAGCTGGATTGTACTACATGGCATCTGTAAAGGAAATCAATAAGCCACAAGAATTTATATTACCATACTATGGTCCGTAGATTTTCTAATTTTCTTTCACGTCCTTGTGTGTTGCTGGTTTTTCTGCATCCATTCATTTCCTTCTCTCTCTCTCTCTCTCCTTTAATTTATTTTACAAGTAAATGAAAGGAATTTTTGCGCTTTATGTGTTGGGACATGCAACTTTACATTGTAGAGCTTAAATGCATTGGATTCAATGGTTGACATGCATAAAACCATTTTGTCCATTACTATTATATTGTTTAACAATATATGATAGTGAGCACAATTCTATTGTTATTTTCACTGCAGTGCAGCACTCATAATTGTTATGATGTGGATTTCAGGTTTATTTTCTTCTGCTTCTTGCTCTTTTACAGTTCACTTATAATTTTGGTCACGTTTGAAACAGGTCTGGGCCAAGTACAGCTGAAATTGGGAGATTTTAGAAGTTCTCTTTCAAACTTTGAAAAGGTTTTGGAAGTTTACCCTGAAAATTGTGAGACACTGAAAGTGAGTTAGTATAACAAAATGTGAAAATTGTTGTTTAAATTACATATCCGTTATTTTTTATTTTTTATAAAGGGTTTTAGGGTTTCTATTATCTAGGATTTGATTTGATTTTCCTTGACGTAGACACTTGGACACATTTATATTCAGCTTGGGCAGATTGAGAAGGCCCAGGAGTTCATAAGAAAAGCTGCTAAGATTGACCCTCGTGATGCACAGGTCATTTTTCTTGTTGTTTCTCTCTTTTTCAGGTTTTAATTTATGCGATTAGATGGTGTGGTATTCATTCACATGCATTGAGAGATGCAATTCTTTTGAAAAACAAAAATGGAACTGGATGTTGCACTAGCCACAAGGATCATACCAGTCCTTCTTGTAAAAAAATTAATTGTTAAGGGTCTGCTTGGTTTGTCACTCAAAAAACAGTTCTCTAGTATTCAGAAAACAGAAAACTATTCTCAGATCACTGAACCAGGCAGGCCCTAAGATGCTCATTTCTTGTTCTTTGGAAATAAATTGTGACATTCATTAAAATTCTAGAACAAAGTGGGGAGTTTTTTGAAAAACTGGAGCTCACAATGAATGTTTCTAAAACAAAGTGGAGATTTTTTTATAATTGTGGACAGCTCAAAACAACCCAATCTGAATGACAATTACACTGGAACAAAAGAAGATGCAGAATCCCCAATTATTATTATTATTATTATTATTATTATTTTGATTAGTCAGAATCCACAAATTGAATACTTAAAACCTTGGATTTGGAAATTTCAATCCGTGAATTCAAGGTGAGTCCTCACTTAATTTTGCCAATCAGTGCCTGGTGCCATGAAGATGCACTTCTCCTTGGGCGGATTCTATGACTGGGTGTGTTATATGTGGTGCATACCTTTACGGGATGCAAATTTATTGTGAATGGCATTGGTTTGCAAATTTATTGTTTTTTATTTTTAATAATCTCTAGCTTCTCTTCTATGAAACAAGGATACTTTTGTAAGGTGAACATGTCTGTATCAGATGCCAACACACTCTCAGATTCTTATACTTCCTAAACATATCCATAATTTGAGAATTACTTGGAAAAATAAGGTATGGACATATAAGAAGAAAATATCATGACTAATTCAGTCCAACATCTATCCATGCAATATAACTATCAATTCTAAGGGTTTTTTTTTTTCCTTTTCTTTTTCCCGTGACTATCAATTCTCTACTATTGTTTGTGATAATTTTTTTATTAGAAAATAGTAACAATGTATATAACATGACAAACCATTATTATTTTGAACTTATGCCGTGCATATATTGTTATGTCCTTGTTGTATCCGTATGTTTTGTTTTTTTCCTAAAGATTTTTCTGTATTGCTGTTTTTGGATTGTGACATGTCTGTATTCCGTATCTGTGTACATGATTCATAGCTTTTCTTCTTTGCTATATGTCTATATAACATTATTTCCTGTATTTGTTCTCTGTTCACTATTATCTTAGTCCTCAGCAATTCAGACATGGACAATTCACCTTTTATATATGATAATCTTTCACCATTTGTGACATGGTGATAGCTTGCATGCGTCTGTTGAGTGCAGATTGCTCTGATTTTTTTTTTGGGGTCTTTTTACTCACCTAACGGTCCTAACCTTAATACAGGCATATCTGGATCTAGGAGAATTACTAATTTCAACTGATGCAGGAGCTGCTTTAGATGCCTTCAAAACTGTAAGGGCCTCCCACTTTTTATTCTTGTCTGAACATTAACTTTGTGATGTTCATATCAGACAAAAAATATTATCTGGTTAATGCTAGGGTTTACCTTTGTTTACTTTTTTTGGGTTTCTAAATCTGCTTTTAATGCATATCTTACGTACAAAGTCTTACTTTGTTGAGTATCATGGTCTGTGTAGCTTTGTACATAGAATGTTGATGATTTTTCTGTTAACCAAAGACTACGATTATATTCTAGTTTCTACAATCGCGCTGCTCCGTGTAAGTTCAAAAAGAGAGGTTATAAGTTGTGGAAAATGATTCTGGCGTGGACTTCCGACATTTGGCAAGGAGATATTCAGATATTCTGGCGTGGATTTTCGACATATGCCAATGAACACAACAATATTTAATTATGAAGTTTTATTTATACTCATCTGCTGAATGATTCATAGAGAATTTTTAATAATTTTAATTTCTATAGTAAGAGTTACATAATTTAGAAGACGATGTTATATGATAACGCAAAGATTATATATACATATATATAAGAAAATGTCATTGCATGCTTGGCATGTGGTGATCATGTGTGTAATGTAAATTTTTTTAACTAAAAAATCGAACAATTTGAGGTGTTTTTATATTGTTTCAAGAATTTCGTGTTCCTATATTCCAAGTCACTAAGTCTATTATGTTGAACTAGGCTTACTTCCTGAAGAAAGTAAATCTGACACGTAGTTTAAGGGGAATACAATATTATTTATTTGTATATAATCGGGATTGATTTGATAGAGGTCTGACAAAGACCATATGCTGGCGGTCAACAATGTTGTGCTGCCTCCTTTTTTCTTCGAGATTGGGAGTCTACACATGACACTGGCAGAGTTTTATGATATATATATTCTACTTATTTTTTTGATGGGCTCAATACCTTTAGTTTTTGCCTTGCTATTTGGTTTTTGATCTTCTTTCTACTTTTCCTTGGTTTTTTTCAAGCTTCCTTGGGCTATTTAACAACTTGATATTTTGTTACAGGCACGAGTTCTGCTTAAAAAGGGAGGTGAAGAAGTACCAATAGAATTGCTTAACAATATTGGAGTTCTTCAGTTCGAAAGGGGAGAGTTTGAGGTTTGCATATTTTCTTAAGGTTTTGTTTGATTTTCATTACAAATAGAAGATTCTCAGCAAACTGTTTGGATGCGTTATAATGTTTTTACAATTCTTTTCAGATAGTTACTAAACTCGATTCAACAAAGCCTTTTGCCAACTAATTGGGATAGGCTACATGAATTCTATTTTTCCATTTCGGTTTATTAAAATCTGTTGCCTCAGCCTAGCCACAAGTTATCTTATCTTTCTTTACTCACTCTATCACGGTAATTTTTGGTCTTTCCCTTCCTCTAGTAATACCCTCAATGTGTACCATGTCACGCTTTCTAACTGGTGCACTTAGTGGTCTTCTTTGCACATTTTCAACCATCTTGATCGAATTTTGCTTATTGTATCCCCAGTTGGTGTTATTTCTACCATTTCAAGAATCTCAACATTCACATTTCTGTCACATTCACTTTATGCATTCGTTGTTCTTAGCTGCCAAACAGTTTTTTCCCATTAGCTCGTAGTGACTGGTGTGATAACTGTTTTTCAGAAATTTCTTTTCAATCTTAGATTCCTTCCTCCATTTATCTAGACGCCTTCCTCCATTTAACCCATCTTCCTTTGATTCTATACTTAACATCATCTCCAATTTCTCATCATTCACAGCCTAAGTAGCAAAAATCTTCACTTTTTGGTATCTATGTGGATAAGTAGTTTACAATTGTTCCAGAAAAATTATCTGGGATTTCTTTACTTTCAGCTTGCGAAACAAACTTTCAAGGAGGCTCTAGGTGATAACATATGGGGCAATTTCATCTATGGTGCACCACAATCCTGTGCCATTGATGCCGGTGCATCTATCAATCAATACAAGGACATGCAATTGTTCCATCGACTTGAGCTAGCTGGTATCATTGTCGAACTACCTTGGAATAAAATCTCAACACTGTTTAACATGGCTAGACTACTTGAGCAGTTGCATGACACTGAAAGGGCTAGCATCTTGTACCGTCTGATCCTATTTAAGGTACGGGCTTGTCTCTGGTTATTGCAATCATTAATTGATATTATTGGTGAATGGTAATGATGAATGAAGGTATCATAATGAAAGTCATGCTTTTTAGTGAGAGAAAAGACATTTCATTTTTTGGTAGTTTTGTTTATTACATGAATACCACCCTGTAGGAGACACCGAACACATTGTTTCAATGAGTGCTTGGACTATGAAATAACTAATTGATTGCAGAAGTGTTTGTTGACTGGCTTGCTTCAACCTTTTATATTAAGGACAAGATTGACTTTGTGGGTTTTGGGGAGAGAAATGCATTGATTTTATCATGTTATATTAGAATGGTAGAATGATTTTGGCTTGGGATAGAGCTACTTTAATCTTACAGTGAACATTTTTATTTGCATTGTGTCTCTTTTTATGTAGCATTATTTAGGCTGGCCCACTCAGGATCTTAGTTTGTAGGGCTGAACTATGTTGAAGAAGTAATGACTTGACAAATTGAAAGAAGGGAAAAAGTGTTTCTGGTTGTAAATCTATGAATTTAAAGTCTTTATCAAGTTCTATCTGTTGAAAAAGAGTGAAAGATTTGGTGAACAAGAAAGAAAGTGAGAAAAAACCCTATTTTGTGAGTGCTTGGTTGAGATCCAAACTCTTATCAGTAAAAGAGTTCTACAGTATTCTTTAACCAAGAAAAATATTCAATTACCTTTCATCTAGTCTGAAAGAAGGGGCCTTATTTGGATGGAGGTGCTAGAAAATTCGATACACGCAACATAAATCATCTATCTTAATTTCAGTGCGCTCAATGCTGTAAACAAATATAACTCGCACACAAATCAAGTAAGCTGCTACTTGGTTGGATTGCTGACCAAGAAAAAGTTCCTAGCTATACTGTTAAATGTTATGACTTGTTCATGAATTTGTTGATGTTCCATTGCTTAGACCATATTTTGCCACCTTCGGGTAATTGTCTAACCTGCGTGTTACTTTCTTACAGTATCCAGACTACATAGATGCTTATCTAAGGCTTGCTGCCATTGCAAAAGCTCGAAATAACGTTCAACTAAGCATCGAACTGGTTGTTACTGCCCCTCTTGCATCTCTAGGTCTACTGTTTTATGGTTTGTTTTTAGATTTTAAACTATTTGCTCATAAAGAGATGTGTTTTTGTCATAGATTGGTGATGCTCTGAAGGTGGATGACAAGTGCCCAAATGCATTATTAATGCTTGGAGACTTGGAACTTAAGAATGATGACTGGGTCAAGGCCAAAGATACCTTCCGGGCTGCTAAGGATGCAGCTGCTGGACAAGATTCTTATGCTACTCTTTGTCTGGTGCATACATTGTTGAGAGTGCATTCATGTTCTAGTTCTTTAATGATATTCCACTATTACTTTATTAAGCGGTTTCTGCTTTTATTTTGCAACTTATTGAAGAAAGTGCAATCTGCCAATTTACTTCTCACATCTGCATTTTATGTGAACCTGAAGTAAATTACATAAATTTTTAAATCATTTTTTTTTATGTTTTGGTGTAGGATATATTGTCATCATCTGACTTATCAAAAAAATTATATTGTCATCATCATGAGTTGTCATCTTTTATATTGTTTTTATTATTAACTAATAATATCGGCAGCTCTTATTTTTTGCCTTATAATTGGTCAGGGAAATTGGAACTACTTTGCAGCAGTTCGCTCTGAGAAAAGAGCTCCTAAGTTGGAAGCTACCCATCTGGAAAAGGCTAAGGAACTCTACACAAAAGTATGATATTGCATCGTTATTTTAGAGCCTTTCTTCACAATTGCTACCACAACTTAAATGCCTCTTTTGCTCTTAAAGTTTTTGTTTTTAACGTTAAATACAGGTTTTGTGAATTTATTTTTGATTTGATTTGACCCAATAGCGAGTTGAATCCGATCACAATGTTCTAGCAGAGGAGTTGGCATCCATTATTGAATATTTACGAATACTTTTAGTATTTACAGTTTAAATGGGTTTTAAAGTGGTGGTATCTGTTACACCAATATATATATATATATATATATTAAAGAAATAAAAAATGCTTGAACTAGGAGGAATCTGAGAATCATGATCTGGTAATTTATGAAGGTCGGAGCTACTTAAAAGTGGTTTCCATTGTGCCTTAGCTTTTCTTTGGCTGTATATGTGTGTGTGTGTGTGTGTGTATATATATATATTAAAGGATAAACGGCAAAAAAAAAAAAAAAAAACCTTGAACTATACATTTTTGCCCTCCCAAAACAAAAACTGATATGGAGAAAAAAAAAACCTGAGTTTTGTACATGGTGTTAGTTTGCCATTACTGGCTATGACAGGTTACTAATCTGCCCATTAACTAAGAACATAGTGTTAGCTTGCCATTACACTGGCTATGGCGGATTACTAAGCTGTCCATTAACTAAATGACGTAGTTTTGATAGGTTTACTTTCACATCCTACCATCCAACAATGATGTGTCATATCTATTGATGCTCCATTGTTAACCCAATCTTCTTATGAGTAGGAATGGATAGAGTGGGAATCTATCAATAGTAAGGGGATTTCTCCTACTTCTATCTATTGATGAGACACCTATCTATTTTGCAAAAAATTGCATATAAATGATTCACATTATCAAGTATTAAAGGGAAGCTTATCTGAGAGAAAATATAGAACAGTAGAGAGAGAGATAAATAAGAAGATGAAGTATAGGGAGAAAATAGAGAGAACTTGGGTCGGCCCTCTTGCCCATTGGTTTTTCATATTCAGCCGGAGCTTATTTGGGTCAGAACTTGGGTTAGAATGAGCTTTTTATGGGTCAAACATAGTCCAAAGGTATAATGGTCAGCACAGTCATCAGGGATGGATGTATTAACAAGTCAGTGGGGGAAATTAAGCTACCACCCAGTCACCAGGAACTTGGGGAGTTTTTTTTTTTTTTTTTTTCAGTAATATACCCTACTATTTTATTCATTTTGATATATATACCTATAGAATTATACTACCGCCCACTAAAATTACTAAAAAATTGCACTATTGTCCCCCCTCACACAATTTTCTTGATCCGTCCGACAGTCATATATTATGTTACATGCTTTGCATGAGATTATGTTATCATTAAGTAACAGTAGGGTGGTAAGTGCAATGTTTTGAACAATGTTACACGGACTCTTCAAAAGTAAGTGAAGTACCCGTGTCAGACACAATACTTGGACATGGGTATAGGATATGTGTCCGACACTATGCTAAAATAAAATAAAAAATATTAAATAATATGAATATTTAGCAGTGTCCATGTCCTTCAGTTTGGGGATTTGACACATTCGACGCGTGGATACATACATGTACTCGACATACATACAGGTATCGACACACGTACTCGAGTCCAGGTAACATAGGTTTTGAATAAGTTCAAGGGGTTATATGCCTAAAAAAATATACTTTTATTGGAACCATGGACCTAGACAAAAGTCACAAAACTGAAGGGCGAAAGAGGATTTATGTAAACCAACACCAAATAGTTGGGACACTGCTTTGTTTTGTCGAGGTGTGCTTGGTGTGCTTTAAACGGTGACTTTGATTTAAACCACACTAGGGTAGATATTTTATTTATAGTTCATCCTCTGGTTTAGTTGTGCTCATTCAGGTCTTCTCTTCAAGTATTTTATGCTTTATGTTTTCTGCATAATTTTCATTCAGACTGTTATGTCCTGATAAACAATCCTTTTGATTTGTGTCATGAATTTTTTAATTTCCATACTATCAGGTTCTGGTTCAGCATACTGCTAACTTATATGCTGCCAATGGTGCTGGTGTGGTCCTGGCAGAAAAAGGTCAATTTGATGTTTCAAAGGATCTTTTTACACAGGTTGGCTGAACTTGTTTTGTTTTTTGTCATGATATAGAGAAAGAATTTCATAGTTGTTTGAGTTACCCTTTTAGCTTTCTGTTACTTGTAGGTTCAAGAAGCTGCAAGTGGAAATGTTTTTGTCCAGATGCCAGATGTGTGGATAAATCTGGCACATGTTCATTTTGCTCAAGGAAATTTTACACTGGCTGTAAAAATGGTCTAGTTTATAACATCTTATCACTTTCTTTTTGGTCAATTTTAATTTCTAATTTAGTGTCGTGTCATTTTTGCATGCCTGTTTTGATGTCATTTTTTATTTATTTATTTGCAGTATCAAAATTGCTTGCGGAAGTTTTATTATAACACAGACAATCAAGTCCTTCTCTATCTTGCCCGTACACATTATGAAGCTGAGCAGTGGCAAGATTGCAAGAAGACTTTACTAAGGGCCATCCACTTGGCTCCTTCTAATTACACACTAAGATTTGATGCCGGTGTTGCAATGCAAAAGTTCTCTGCGTCAACATTGCAAAAGACTAAAAGGACAGCAGATGAGGTCAATGATGAAACCTTCCCTTTGAATTTTTTTTTTTTTCTTTGTATTTCATCTCATTAGACTTAAGTCTGATGCTTTAAGTTCTCTTTGATATACTTCTGCTTTCTCTTTGGATCATCCAAATCTGTTATACGACTGTGCTCAGAAACTTAACCTTTTCTTTTGGGTTCTTGATAATATAACTGCATGAAAATTCCGATTAAAAATGTTTTTTTAATATTACATTGTGTTTTAAAGAAGGGGGGGGGGGGGGGGGGGGGGGGGGGGGGTTTGGGTTGTCTAAGATTATCCTGAAAGTGATCATTTCTATGATCTTGGTTCAATTTGCATTAAGGAGGGATTATTGATGATAAAATAGTCTATAAAATTAAAGCAAGGTTGATTGAAGTGATTTTGTGTTTGTTGCTTGATTGACGAGGACCTAGGAAGTTTCATGAAACTCATAATTAGATTATTGGCATCCGTGCTTTATGGTATAACATTGAAGTGATTATCTCCCCCATCTTGAATCAATTTTCGAGGAGGATATATTGATGAGGAGATAGCCTGTGGATGAAATAAAAACTTAAGGTTGTTTGAAGTGAATGTAATTGTTGTCTGATTGACAAATACGGAAATACCTGTGATTTTGTACAAACCTCATGTATTGGGGAAATGTTGCATTGTGAAAATGAGTTCAGCATAGAGGAGGATTCAAGGATGGATCAGTAGAATTAGAGGAAATTGAACAATTATATTCAAATGCAATTTTGGAAAATGAAATTCAGATTTTACTGTCATATCTTTTAGTTGGGCATTCGTAGTCAATACAGGCAATACTCGGGGATAATGATTGCTCCACTATAGTCTGGGATAAATGTGCTACAAGGAGAGGAAGGTCGTGCATGGGCATGAGGGAGTGAAACAACCATGGCCAATGATTTAGCATAATTGGACTACCGATATAGCTTAATTTTAAGAAAGTGCAGCCAACCAGAAAACTTAAAATGATGTTTTGTGGTGTTATGTTTTCCATTCTTGGTGTGACCATAAGTTTCTGTTTAAAGTTTAAACAGTCCCATCCATGCATGGTCCAATGCTTGATATTAGAATCGATCAATATTTTTGTATCATTTGGTTTGTCTAGTAGTCATATGGGTTTTCCAGCTATTTTGCTAGACAGAGATGCGGTTGAAGACTTTGATGAAAGACTATTTGAAGGTGGCATGAAGATTGCAAGATGATATGGAATCAACTGTCTTGATCAACTTCATTCATGCATTAGGACAGCGTAAAATTCACTGAGTGGACCTTAGTATTAAAATGGATAAATCAACTTGATTGACCTTAGTGGACTTTGAAAGCTTCTATAAAGTTTTTGAAGTGCGTCCAAATGTAAAAGCATGTTTTATTCAGAATTGAATCTAGTGATTGTTCTTTTTCAGGGTTGTAACTAATTATATACGTTGAATCTAGTGATTATTCTTATATTTCCAGAAATTAGACTCAATTAGCTTTCCAATGTCATGTTGTTTGCTAATGTCGAGTTTTCAATGGAGTCCTTAATCAGACCATCTGCACAGTTCCTCAGGCACTCTGGAGCTGTATGCACCTGCGGAAGTTTTTCACTTGTACTGCTACTTCAAGTGTTCAGGAGTTCTTTAGATTATCTTGTTGATGCCAAGGTTCCTGAGAATGTTACACTTATTTGTTATGCAGAAATAATGCATTCCTTTACCTCATGTTTGAAATAATATGGAAATTGTTGGTAAAAGTGTCTAAATCATTTATAGTTATCTTAATGTATTTTAGGCTCTTCTATTACTTTGGTGGCTATTAGATTAGTGAAAAAATAAGCATGATACTACTTGAATTTCTTTATTATCTGTTCAGTGTGTTTACTCTTGACTAGCTGCATTTTAGATCAGTATTTACATTTCATGTCTAGGGTCATTCCCTGGTTCGATGATAAAATGTCAGACTTACAAGCACGAGACTGTAGGTTCAAGAGTGAGAGCAACCATTTTGTGTAAGAATGCCGAGTGAGAGCAACCATTTCAGTTATGTGAAGAGGAGTTCCTGCTCCTCTTCCGATGATTTAATCGTTTTTTTGGATTCTTTGGGGCCTTAGACCCCGGTTCCACTTTTGTATAAGGGATGTGTTCCTCTCTTGAATGCCTTTTTATTTAATTATTACTTATCAAAAAAAAAAAAGAATGCCGAAGATAGCGTTTGCCTCCATCCTGTCTTCCCCACCCAGCATCCCTCGTAGGCGGGATATACTCTGAGTCATTCATTGCTCTTTGGCTAAAGAGTGCTGGGATTTGATGATTAGCTTATTTGGTTTTCCTTGGGTTATGCCTGGATCCGCTAGAGGGCTGATTGAGGCGTGGAGAGGTTGTCCTGTGGGGGCTCACAGTCAGGATGCATGGAGGGCTACGCCGCTTTGTGTGTGGTGGTGTATTTGGCTTGAAAGGAATAGGAGATATTTTGAAGGGAAGGCGATGTCAATTTCGGTGCTTAAATTCTCGATTCTTTCCACTCTTTTTTGTTGGGTTTCAGGGAGAGATCATAGATCATTGGAGGAGATTGTTGATTTTTTGGCCTCCTTGAAGGCTTGAGGCCCTTTGTGGTCTTTTGTAGTTTTCTTGGTTCCGCTCCCCTTTTGAGCATTTTTAATAAAATTTTATTTATCAAAAAATAAAAAACTCATCTTTGCAGATCTATTATCGTTGGAACCACGCCAAGTAGTCTGATATGATCTCTCTCTCTCTCTCTCTATATATATATATATATATCCTTCTCTCTCTCTCTCTCAACGGGAACTGTTCTTTAAATATTGTAGGTGCGTTCAACAGTTGCAGAGCTTAAGAATGCAGTTCGTGTATTTAGTCAGTTATCTGCTGCTTCAAATCTTCACTTCCATGGGTTTGATGAAAAGAAAATTGAAACCCATGTTGGATATTGCAAGCACTTGCTTGAGGCCGCAAAAGTTCACTGTGAGGCAGCTGAGCGTGAAGAGCAGCAGAATAAGCAGAGACAAGAACTTGCTCGTCAAGTCACAATTGCTGAGGAAGCCCGTAGAAAAGCAGAAGAACAGAGGAAATTTCAGGTCAGCCTTTGAATTATAGTATATATTTTCTAGATTTATCATTGTTCTTTGTGCGTCCACTCATTTTCTGTGGGAAAACAGTTGGAGAAAAGAAAACAAGAGGATGAGCTAAAGAAAGTTATGCAACAGGAGCAACATCTAGAGCGTATAAAGGTAAGGATTAATAACTGTGATTTACAGGGGAAAAAAATGATTGTCAACGGTGTCATATACAGCATAGTTTCTCTCTTTTAGCAGTGGGCACTATATGAGGAGGATGGTTGTCTGTATGGTGATTATCATTTTGTATAATAATATATTGTGAAGTTCACCTAAAAGAGGAACACAACAAAAATGAAAATATATCAATTGAGAAATGAAATATATAACATAGGAGTGTCTGTTGCAAAAAAAATGTCAAATGCTTGGTCCTTTATATCTAACTTTAAAAATTAGGATATAGAGGAGATAGTATTAAACTATGAATTTCATTGCATTGTATTTTTAGATAATTGCAAAGTTGCTCTCAAAACTCTGTACCATCATAAAAGTTGAGAACTTCTCAATACTACCTGAAAAAATGTAGTTGCATAAGTTCAACCAAGTTTATATACTTTATTAAAATAGGGGGTGATCACCAGTCAAACCATAATGAAGGATTCATCCCATTCCCAATTCTAAATTGAAACAAATTTCTGACTTTAGCTCTAAGATTCAATATATTCCTCAATGTCCAAGAGCAAAAAATAGGGAATTCTCAAATTCAAGAAGTTTTCCTCCTTAACCAAGTAAGCCCTAGCCCATTTAACCCAAATGGAAGTGGATTTGGGGTTTAAGCAGTTCCATATATGCTTGACTGCTGCTGCTGGGTTCCACTCAATCATATTTTTCAGCCCCAAGCCACCTTCTTCTTTGGGATTTCCGAGTGCATACGCCCTCCCAAGCCACCTTATGGCCACCCTTTAGCCAAATTTGAGCCTTTCCATAAGAATTGACTTGTCTGACATGGATTCTTTTCCCTTTTAGGCGTGTCTGTGATTTAGGAAGAATAAATATAGAACACCAATAAATTTGAATAGCTATCAGAATGGGATTTAATTATATGTAAACTATATGTAACTAGCATATTAGTTAATCATCTTTTGGAGTGTTGACTAAATGGGACTAGTTTCAAATAATTAGCGAGTCTTGAAAAATTACCTTGAACTGGACATGATATCAAAACCTTGTGCTTCTACTCTTAAGTCCATATCCATTTGTGTTTGCCTTCTATGTGGTTATGATTTTGGTTTATTTCCAGGAGCAATGGAAGAGTAGCACTCCTGCCTCTAAGAGGAAGGATAGATCCCAGATTGAAGATGAAGAGGGGAGGCATGGTGAGAAGAGGAGGAGAAAGGGGGGAAAGAAGAAAAAGAGGGACAAGAGCTCTAAATCACGTTATGAGACAGAGGAAGCAGAAGCTGACATTATGGATGACCAGGACGAATTGGAGGATGACGATTCAAACATGAACTATGGGAAGCACTCTAATCAGACGAATGATCAAGATGATGGAGAAGAGAATGCTCAAGATCTTCTTGCAGCTGCTGGGCTTGAAGATTCTGATGCTGAGGATGACATGGTATTTCTCTCTCCCCTTTGTGTGTGGTTGTTTTTGTGTTTGTGGTGAATTGCTGCACTGCTTGTGGACAAGGTATTGTATCTAATTCTGATTCTTAGAGGCAACATAAAATATTTCATGTGGGAATCTTGAGCCGTTTCTAGCTATATTATCTGTATCAATCTTGTGTCTGGTGAATATCACTGTTTGCGGATTAGGCATTGTATTTCATCCTGAAACTCATTTATTTTATGGCAATATTCCATAGTTTTGACCGTTTTGTTGGCTGCTGGAGAGATATGCTACATGTAGCACTAGAATATTAATTTTAATCTTCAAGCATACTCGTTGCTTTTCAATTAAATAAATAGATTAATAGATGATAACTCTATGTTAAACAAATTTATTCTTAGATTATAATTGCAGTAATGTTCCTTTGTGAATTCTTTGTGTCCAGTAATATATTGTTTGGCAGATATTATATAAATTAATTATAGTCTTCATAAGGTATATTGGAAGTCTACTGAGGTGGAGCTCCCACATTGGTTGTTGTAATCTCTTTTATATCCATGAGTGCCTGTTTGCGAACTGTTGTTACAAATTCTTTCCCCCGTGGGTTTTATGTTTGTTTGCTTTTTGGACAAAGGACTTATTGCATCACAATTTTGTTTGTTGTTTAAGGCTGCACCTTCAAATATAAGCCGATTGAGGCGGGCATGGTCAGAATCCGATGATGATGAACCAGTACAGAGGCTGCCGGAGTCCAACCTCGTAAGAGAGAATTATGGCGAGATGCAGGAAAGTGATGGGGAAGTCAGAGGAGATGATGAAAAAGTGAATGAAGATGGTGCTGCTGCTGATGATGATGACTACTGAGAACAAACAAGTCGAGAAAGGCCCTGCAAAGAAAGGAGTATACTTATTAGCAGGACAGCATTTTCAGTCTGATTCTATGAAAGGAGATGAGTGATAGTCCCTAAAAAGCTATGGTATAGAAATGGTTGTAGTGAGTTTCAGGATCTCTGCTTGTGTGGAACTATCAAATGCATACATGCCCTTTGATACTGAAAAGCCTTTCATTGCGGAACCACAACATTGTCTAGAGATGCCTTTTGCATACTCCATAATTGTAACTTACAAACTATAGTATACTCTAATTCATATTTTTAATCTTCTGTTAATGAAAAGCTATTGTCATTTACCCACATATATATATATAGGAGTCCTGATCTCTTGCTCCCCATGGAGTAAGAAAAATAATCCTCACTTTTTATGTAGACCGTTAGATTAATTTAACGGTCATTTTACAAACCCACCTGTGGCCTTTCCTTTTAACACAAAACCACTTTCACCCTATTTTTAGTTTCTATAATTAATTTTACCATTACCATCCACTGTAACAATAAAAGGTAATTATCAAAATAAAAATAGAAACTTTTGAAAAAATATTAATTCCCGTATATTTTACTAATAAATTTGTTTTTATTTAAATGTTTCTTTGAAAGGAAAAACAATATCCGTATATTGCTAAGAGGCTTAATAGTGTCTGGGGTGCTTGGTTTTTCTTCAGTTTTTATTTTAAACCAACTTTGAATGAGAAATCAAAGAGTAAGATCACTTGGGAGAGTAATTGGGCTGGTGGGTATGATAAATTAGACTTGAAGCTTGATGTTTTCATAGTTTCGCATGATATGGAGAATATGTATATGTGGGTTTTCAATGAGAGGTTTGAAAATGCATTGGGAAAGATGCAGCTGAGATGTTAAGCGGTGTGCACGATTCCGGGATTTAGAGATGTTTCATGTTATTTTAGAACCAAAGCTCTCATGAAAAGAAGTATTATTGTTATAGTTATTTGTGTGTGCATGTGTGAATAATAATATTATACAACTTAATAATGGAATCATATGACATTGACTTTATTCAAAATTGTTAAAGCTTAAACTAAATAAAATGAAAACAAAAAATTTAATCTCTTTGTAAAGGGATGAAACTTAACAAAATTTAAAACATTTAATCCTCAAAGCCTTAAATAAACTCTTCCTCGACAAATAAAAGTAAAGTTACGGGAATTAATTTTTTTTTCAAAGGTTTCTATTTTTACCTTTTATAATTACCTTTTATTGTTATAGCAGATGGTAATGGTAAAATTAATTATAGAAACTAAAAGTAGGGTGAAAGTGGTTTTGTGTTAAAATGAAAGATCATGGGTGGGTTTGTAAAATGACCGTTAGATTTAATCTAACGGTTTATATAGAAAGTGTGGATTATTTTTCTTGCTCCATGGGGAGCAAGAGATCAGGACTCATATATATAGATAAAAGCATTGACAAAGCTATTTTGAATGGTTTCTTTGAATGTAATTACATGTAAGTTGACCTGTCTTGAGGTCTATGGTAATTATGATTTATGTATGGCTCTATAAGTCGATAAAGCTTTGCTCCTTTACAGTTTTGCCCCTCCACGTTAATAATAAATTTTTAGATGAATAAGTGGAAAAATCGTCTGTTTTCTCTCTCTCGAGATTGAACACCGTCTATTGGCCTCACGGTCTGACCTCCATGGCTTCATTACTGCTGCTCCATACACTTCGCAGCCACTATCATACACCCTTGTCACCGTGGCCACCACCTTACCGTGCAATCAAACTGTAACTGCCATCTTGGTCAATGCAACACCATTATCACCACCAGGCAATCTGATTTTGTTGGGGATTTGACTTGATTGGGTAAAGTCAAGTATAAAGCAGGGGTTTATGATCCTCGTGTTGCTGATGGCAGATGAGAACAACTCAATTTGGATGGTAAAAATTAAGCAGGTCTGTTTCATTCATCATTTGGAGATGAGAATCCATGTGTGATGCTTGGTTGCTAGAGTTGATGTTGGAATATAGTAACTAGTAACAGTGGTGGGTTGCCAGTTATTTATTACTGTGTGTGTGTGTGTGTGTGTATATATATATATATATATTATTTTGTATAATTTTGTTGATTTTGAATTTTTGATAACGTTTCCAAATACTTTTTGATGCTCATTATTTGGTTGTGCTATTTTGTAAATTGGATGACCTGAGCTGTTAGATCTCTGTTTCAAGATTAAACTTTAACATTTTTGAGGTTCATTTGGTTATGGTTAGCATGGGAGTGAGTGAAGAAGAATTGGAACGACAGCGTTTGGGAAGGGAAGCCAGTTACTTTTGATATTTAGGTTAAAAAAGTGGGACGGTGGTACAGAGTCAGGTGACTTAGCTGACAAACACAGAAAAGTCAGACAGTGGGTGGGTGCGTTCTGTAACCCACAGTACGGTAGAAATAAGTTCGTTCGTTCGTTCATTCATATTCATTCACAGGTACTGATTTCTGTGCGTGTTAAAAGTCTGTAAAAGACTCAACTCTGAACACTTTCATGTAGCATCTCCTCTGCCTTGTCTAGTCACAAACAAGACCTTCATATGTAGCGTGTGTGTGTGTGTATATATATATATATATATATCTGTATAAGGATGGATAAATTACCACCTATAAAGTATAGGTATAAAGTATAGACGCTATCGTTGTATCTCAACTCTAGAGGTCTGTTTGGCATGCGATTTATTTTAGTTGTTTTATTTTTGATTAAAATAAAAATAATATTTTTGTTGTAGGAGTATTTTAAAAAAAAATTAGAAACACATTTGGGAACAATATTCTGTTGTGAAAATGTCGGAAATAGAAAAAATAATTTTTTAGTGTTTTAGTTTTGGATTACTGTTCATGAAGTGTTTTAACACTGTATAAAATAAAACAAGACTGCACCAAACATGCTTTTGTTGCCAAAATCGATACTGTAACAGCCAAAAAATAAAAACAACAGAAACAAAACGCATGCCAAACGAAACCTAAAAGATACCAACCACGTGGTCTACACGTCCCAATAAAACACATTGGAGTTCTTTGCCACATAAAAAACAAAATAAAAAAATAAACGATTTTCACTCGCGGGGAATGAAACTTGCAATTTTGAAGTTAGGTCTAATCAAATGTATATAGCAAATTTTTTACCACCATTCCTTCCTGTGAGGTTTGTTTGTAATTTCTTGCTGCCACTCTACCATTATCTAGTCTAATTTTGTATGCAGGTATGTACATGTCATAACTTAGTATGCACTCGGGTCTCTAGAAAGGGCCGGAATTCTCTTTTGTAATATTTTTTGGTGCTGGTATGGTTTTTCCAGACTATTATACCGTATTTATTTTTAATACATTTAAATCTACTTATATCGGCCAAATGTAATGTATTAAAAAACATATGTGGATGCATTAAAATGCATCGTATTGAAAATCAAATGTAATGAAAATTGAAAAGAGTACAACACCTACAAAACCTCTCAATGGCATCTTTCAATTCATTCCACTAACAATGAATTTCATTATTATAAATTGACTCTAGAAACCAGATAGTACATTGATAATAATAATAATTAAAAAGAAAAAAAAATCCGGTATCTATTTCATTAATAAAAAATAAATGAGTAATGATACGAATCCTACACATAGTATCATTACTGAAAATAAATATATCCCATATTAGATGTCTATTTGGATAATTTGACTCACAAAAATTGTGAGTCCGAGTTTTTAAATTGGACAATTAATATGGGTAGAATGTAGTAGTTAATTCTGCATAATTTTCCAAAAAATATTGTTAGTACAAAACCAAGAGGCATCCTTACCTTTCCCTCCTTCAAAAGGATTGTAGTCTATGATGCACAATGAACTGTCTATTTGGACTCTTACAGCTAGAAATTTGTCATACATTCATTCCAAGTAAGGAGTGTTTATTCAAGTGCTTCCTGTTTATCTACACCATGGTTCACGTACAATACATATACTCAGTGCAATTCCTTAATTGACTACAACTAGGGTATATATTTACGAATCCCCCATTCTCTACTGTGTTGTTCCATCTTGTGACGCATCATTACAACTTTATTTCATAGTGTTGCACTTAGTCATGAAATTGTTGCGCTATACTAGCAATATTGCGTTAATATTACGTTATGATGGAGTATTGTACTAGCGATATTGGACCAAGACACGGGAGGGTTGCATTAGCGATACAGTAGCAAGGCACAAGAAACAAAACAGTAATTGGGTTATCTTAATGTTACATTGAGCAAAAACTTTAACGAGTTTTTTTATAAAAAAAAAAAAAAAAAAAAAAGACTTTAACGAGTTTTTGAAAGTAAATATAGGAAAAACTTCAACAAAGAACATACAAACATGAGGTGCCAACACCCCAGGGGTTTTGGCTGAGACAGTCAAAGAACATATTAAAAGGAAAGAGGAAAGGAACATTCTTCAATTTAACACAAGCACAACTCAATCTAATTACTAGTTACAAAAACTAAAGAAAGAGGTGTTCTAGGTTCTCACACTGCACAAGTACTATGTGATGTGTATGAGAAAACAAGAGGAGAGAGAGCTCTGACCCACCACCACCATGAGCACTCTTTTGACCATTGATACAGAAACCCACTATTAAAAACTCATTTATCTGCAAAACAAAATGAAAGGACATAAACAAAAAAGAAAAAGAAAAAATCATAATGGAACTCATGTAGAAAGTAGCCGGTGAATTCAATTACCATTACCATTACTGGTGATGAAGAAGTCATGCGAAGAGTTGGGTATGGAAATTGAGAGCTGGGTTGTAGAAACCTGCGAAGGCTTGGACAATTTATCATCCGAATCAAGCCACGAACCTTTGTTTTTCGGTGGCCATTCGTCGAAAAAATGGTGCATTACTTTGTGGGGTTCAGTCTCTCTCTCAATTTGAACGGGCATTTCACATTTTTTGACATCACTATCCGATGCATAGAATTGTTGTTGTTTTGAGGCATCAGTCAGACCTTGAATCTGCAGGTAAGAATGCCCACTTCGAAAATCAGAGCAAGTCCTCTGTTTCAAATGGGTAGTAGTATCCATTGCTAGTGGCGTCAGCTTCAATGAATCATCCATTGAAGGACTAGCATAACTTCTCATAGTCCCAGGAGTTCCAGAGAATAATAAAGCATGCTCATCAATCTCCTCTTTTATTCCTCCGTAATACCTATTTCTTTTTACCATTTAATAAACAAGATCAGTTATCAATACAAGAATCCATAGAAAACATAAAGACACAAACAAAGTACAAGGGCAAGCGACTCGGACCTAATAGTCTACCTGAGAATCCTAATATATCTCTTGTATGGATTGAATAAGATCAAAATTATTAGGTATCGGTTGGTTAGGATTCTCGACTAGCCTATTAGGTATCAGAATCATTATCCTGTAGATATAAAGATATGGACCATACAAACCTGTAATCTTTGTCTGTATGGGAATAAGGAGCAGAGTCCAAAAGGCAGTGGTGGGTAGTATTGTCTTGAGATGAAAAACCAATCCCTGGAGGTTTTGAAGGGGGATAAAAGAAAGGGTGGTGGGGATGAGTGTTGTAACAGGAAAGATGTTGGTGTTGGTGGTGGTGGTGGTAGTGGTGGGTGTCAGAGGGGATTGATGAGAGAGAGGAAAGAGAGAGAGAAGTGGTATCAGATTGGGTGAAAGTAGTGGTGTTTTTGGAGATTGATGAGATGGGTATTGTTGGTGTTGGTGTTGGTGTTGGGATGGTAGTAGTAGAAGATGTCAGAATTTCCACAGGCTTTCTTGAACGGTTTCTGCCTCTGTGCATATGTCTCTCACAGTACTTGGAATCTGGGTATGCTTCTTTTGAGCACCTCCATTTCTTTCCATCTGTTCTTCTGCACCTCCCTGGCTCTGGATCAATTTTTCTCCCAAAACCCATCTGAAAACAGTTCCACCCAACTGCATACAAACATTCACCAAAAACCCAGTTCCTTCAAATAACCATAAATACCATGTATTGTTTACCCAAATATATATATAGATATATTAAAAGTAGATGTGGTAATAAAAGTATAGCTTACTATGTTGAGGTTGGTGAAGGATGAGGTTTGAAGAGTCCAAGCTTCTTTTGAGAGTGAAGAGGAGATCCGATGGGATGGGTACACCAGAAACCATGTATTTGAAGATAAGAGCTTGGTGTTCAAGTTCCTGCCACTGAGATGCAGTGAAGGGGAAACTATTTCTTCCACTCATGAATGAGAGAGAGAGAGAGAGAAATGAAACAAACTTACTTTAAGAGGGGTTCAGAGAAGGCAAGGCAGAAAAAAGTGTGTGACTGTGTGTGTCTGAGAGGGAGATAGAGAGGGATTGTAGATATATACTGTAGTGTACATGTATGTATAATATATATTGAATTAATTGAGGGAGCATATGGGTTGGGCTGCAGAATCTTGTGTGGAAACTAATGGGGGATCTGATCATAGTGCTGCTGCCTTTCTGACACTCCTCCTGGGTGGTGTACTGTGCTCTCTCATATATTATGACTGCACCTCTCTCCTCTGTTGCATCTGCTGCTGCTGCTATACTGTACACCTCTGCCACCTATTGTCTCTGCCATCTGTACGGAAAATCTTAAACTAAAGACCACCCCATTAAACAAAGGATAACCCTGTAATCAGAGAATTTTGTGTATCTTCCCATGCACTGAACGGTTGTTAAAGGGTTCCCATTCGGATCTTGGACTTACCAGTCAAATATGCACCCCACTTAATAATTTAAATTTTTTTAGGATTATTAAATATAAATAGGGTTAGGACACTATATTTATTAAGAGGCAGAGTCAAAGTCTCATTCTTTAAAATGAGTTTGACCCAAAAGTTGAGGTGGCACATGAAAAAATATTGTTTCATATTTCTGTTGCCTAAAATACCCTTCTTCCTATTTTATGTGTTGCCTAAAATGCCCTTTTCTACACTTATCTAATTTCAAGTCCAAATTCCTCTTTCACATTCCATTCGTGCCGCCCTCTCTCTCCCCCCTTCTCTGTAAACAACGATCAACAAACCCCTAACCATTTCCGTGCCTTTCGTGTGACGAAGAAGAACAGCGACCGGCGATCAGTGAGCAGCGACCAGAGGGGAGCGATGGCCAGCGACCAGTTGTTCAGTTATACCAGGACGAAGGTACCTTTTCATTCTTGAATGCTTTCTGTTCATCTTGTTCCTTTTGTTGCTTAACAAAATCATGAAAAAGGTGTCATCCTTAGCAGGATTTTTGCTAATTTGGGTTCTAACTATTTTTTATTTTTTATTTTCTAGGAAAAGAGAAGAATTTTTTTACTAGAAAGTTCACACCCAATTTTTCTTGCCTTCTTTTAGTTTCTACCTGATTCATCACCAACTGTTTGGCACTGAATAGTCATATTCTCTCTGGTTGTTCAGTTATAGTTCTACCAGGACGAACGTACCTTTTCATTCTTGAATTCTTTCTGTTCATCTTGTTCCTTTTGTTGCTTAACAAAATCATGGGGTTGTCATCCTTAGCAGGAGTTTGGTTTTGATTTTTATTTTGAGATTGTGAATTTGATTTTGAATTTGATTTTGAGCAACGGCATTTGAAGAGTTGCAATTATCAACCTGGTCAACTTGTGCAATCTCTACAAATTAATTAAAATAGAAAATAGCCCTCTCCATAACAAAGACAGGATCTCACTTAGTCCCATTATCATTATTGTTATTATTCTTTAAGGTTTCCCCCCCCCCCCCCCCCTCTCGGAAGGTATTATTCTTTAAGTTCACACACATGGAGATTTGATTATTATGTACATTAGATTATGTTATTAGTTGTTTGGGGAGAGGAAATTGTGGAGATTTTATTTTTGTGTGTATCTATCTAATAGTATGATTGTATGAATTTTAGAAAAAGCATTACAAGGGTTCCAATTACTTATAAACTACTTCAAAAAGAAGTACTACAATATAATGAGAATAGAAAAGTAATAAATAAGAAAATTGAACTCCCAGACTTCCGTTCATTTTTATTTTCAACTTTTTAAATTTATAATTAAAAATCATGTATTAGTATAAGATCGAACCATCTAACGGCTGATGTGGTTCGATCTTATACTAATACATGATTTTTAATTATAAATTTAAAAAGTTGAAAATAAAAATGAACGGAAGCCTGGGAGTTCAATTTTCTTATTTATTACTTTTCTATTCTCATTATATTGTAGTACTTCTTTTTGAAGTAGTTTATAAGTAATTGGAACCCTTGTAATGCTTTTTCTAAAATTCATACAACCATACTATTAGATAGATACACACAAAAATAAAATCTCCACAATTTCCTCTCCCCAAACAACTAATAACAGAATCTAATGTACATAATAATCAAATCTCCATGTGTGTGAACTTAAAGAATAATACCTTCCGAAAAAGGTGGGGGGGGGGGGGGGGGTGGGTGGAAAAAAACCTTAAAGAATAATAACAATAATGATAATGGGACTAAGTGGGATCCTGTCTTTGTTATGGAGAGGGCTATTTTCTATTTTAATTAGTTTGTAGAGGTTGCACAAGCTGCCCAGGTTGATAATTGCAACTCTTCAAATGTTGTTGCTCTAAATCAAATTCACAATCTCAAAATAAAAATCAAAACCAAACTCCTGCTAAGGATGACAACCCCATGATTTTGTTAAGCAACAAAAGGAACAAGATGAACAGAAAGAATTCAAGAATGAAAAGGTACCTTCGTCTTGGTAGAACTATAACTGAACAACCAGAGAGAATATGACTATTCAGTGCCAAACAGTTGGTGATGAATCAGGTAGAAACTAAAAGAAGGCAAGAAAAATTGGGTGTGAACTTTCTAGTAAAAAAATTCTTCTCTTTTCCCAAAAAATAAAAAATAGTTAGAACCCAAATTAGCAAAAATCCTGCTAAGGATGACACCTTTTTCATGATTTTGTTAAGCAACAAAAGAAACAAGATGAACAGAAAGCATTCAAGAATGAAAAGGTACCTTTGTCCTGGTAGAACTGAACAACTGGTCGTTGGCCGTCGCTCCCCTCTGGTCGCTGCTCACTGATCGCCGGTCGCCGGTCGCTGTTCTTCTTCGTCACACGAAAGGCACGGAAATGGTTAGGGGTTTGTTGATCACTGTTTACAGAGAAGGGGGGAGAGAGAGGGCGGCACGAATGGAATGTGAAAGAGGGATTATGGCTTGAAATTAGATAAGTGTAGAAAGGGGCATTTTATGCAACACATAAAATAGGAAGAAGGGTATTTTAGGCAACAGAAATATGAAACAATATTTTTTCATGTGCCACCTTAGCTTTTGGGTCAAACTCATTTTAGAGAAATTATGGGACTTTGACTCAGCCTCTTAGTAAATATAGTGCTCTAACCCCATTTATATGTAGTAATTCCTTTTTTTATGAAGTCCATTACGACAGGAGTACCCTGCAGGTGATAGGAGGCTTTTCAAGATTCGAACTCGTACTCATTAGGTTTGTATATAGATAGACTGAGTTCTAATCAAAACCGGATTTGCGTATTCATTAGAGACGCATATGGATTGGATTGGACCCATTTTGGAATCAAATTGGTCCTAACACTTTCATAAAAATTTGAAACAGATCAAAAGTTTTGTTTGGATTCTAGACTTTTTTATAATTCAATCAAATATATATTTAATTATATATCTACTATATATATATATATATAATTTATATAACGGTTGGCTTTGGTCCTATAGGAGGCCAAATCATATCCGAACCGTTTATAAATAAATAATTTCATGCTTTTTGAAGTGGGACTGAAACTTGCCCGAGCCAAACGATCCGGTTTGGTCGGGTTGATTTATGAGTTGAATTGATGTTTTTGTGCACCCCTAACACTCATTACCCACCCACAACATACTACTGTTAGTGAAGGTGGAACTCTTATTAACCTAATACTGGGTATATAAAAATATTTGATAGGTCATTATCCTAGAATATTTGAGAGTTATGCCTGAGACCCACTACCTGGATCTTGAGAAAATTGTACTGTTTGAGATATTACTTTTACGGATCTGTTCACTTTTACTTTTATAATCTCTGTATCTCTCTCTCTCTACCTCGTTCCCGTACCTCATTTACTTTTTGACCTTCTTTCATTTGGGAAGTTGAGAAATTAAGTTCAGGTGAGATGAGGCCTCAGATTTTATTGACATTAAACTTGATTCAACTAGTATTTATTTGGTTCAGCTGACTAAAAACACTGGATCAGAATCATCACATACTTGGGGAGACTTTTTCTTCCCTTTTCTGATGCGTCCTCTCTCATATAATCAAGATAATGCTTAGGTGGTGAGTAACTTAAATAATTTACGTCATCTTGTATTTTCTTAGATTAACCATTAAACAAACATGTATTATTTTTTTTATTAAAGTTAATGTGATAAATTGTTATTAAAACACATAAAGAGAAAGTAGCTAAGCATTACAAGTCCGACTTATTTATATTACAGAATACCCATTAGTATAGGGTAAGATGTGTCTTTTTTATGAAACCATCCATATATTATAAGATGCAATTGACATGTCGTCGGCTGAATTTATTAAGACAACTGTACTCCAATTTCCAATTCAATTGATTGCTTTATCTCATATTTTACTGTTTTCATTTTCCTTGAAAACAAGAAGGTCCTGTCCATTTTAGAGCCCATATTGAAAATGAAAAAGACAGAATTAACCTTCCTTCTGTTGAATTTAGACTTTTAACCATGTAAAGTATATAACCACAATAACTAGACCACTTCAATACACTTGGTTATACCATGTTGCTGATGTCATCAATTAATTATATCTTGTCAAATGAATAAAAATGTATTTATATTAAAGGGGTCATATCATTCTGTTGGTGATGCATTGTCATCGATATTCCAAAGAACATTAAAGTACCTCTTTTTATTGCATCAAGCTAATTTCCTCAGGTGGATTTCTCACTAAATTCCGTAAAAGTTTCCTAAATCCGTTAGTCTGCATAGACACATGCTACTCCATCTCACGCCAAAAGTAAACCCTAATAGTGCTATTTTGACAAGGACTATCTGTTTGAGTGGGTCATTAAGATTCACTTACATTGACCCCTCTCAGATAATTCTGTCCCAGAACCGCTTTCACACCTAACTCGACAATGCAAACTGGGCATCCAATGCCAACTTGGACACTCACTTTCCTTTTTCTTTTTCTTTTTTGTCGTCCATGACCTTGTTTTATTGTTGTATTTACTGTCCCAGTTTAGGAAGTCCATGGGCTAAATTCCCAAGTCAATGTGCATCAAAGCAAGAGGGCAAGAGGAAAACAGACCCACGTCTCGATTTATGAAAGTATCCAAAATGATTGAATCAGAAACACATTGTGGTCCCAAACTATAAGAAGATCAACATGCTGATACAGCCTTGGACCACCAAGGCCAACAACAAGAAGGCTGAGGGGGAAAGTTACACTTACACCCAAATAAATAAAAGATAAAAATAAAAATGGAACCCCAAAAAATTATAAATGCTACCTGTGGGAAGGAGTATTTTGTGGTGTCAGTCCCACATAACATATTTATATGTTTGGACACCCTTTAACTATGTAGACATGTTTTAAGAAATATAGTGATCACGGAGAGGAGACTGTGCAAAGTGAACAATTCTAAAAATTTAAAACTAAATGACTAAAGAAGGAACAAAGCTATTTCTAGCACAACCCATTATGATCACAGCCTATGTTCATCAAGCCAACGGACCACCAAACGTTTTTTCCATCAAGGGTCTAAGCTCAATGATGCTTCCTTTTTTTGAAGAAAATGGGGGGAAAAAGCTAAAAGTACTTCTTGACCCAACAGTTACAAGGTTCCTTCAAAGTAAAGTCAAATGAAACTCCCAAAACACTGCAACTTAAGCATATGATTTCACACATGAATCTGGATTCTGACATGCTGAAATTTTTTCTTCATTGCACCCCCAAATAGTTGGGACCAAGCCTTTCTACTTTTGAGTTAGCTGAATATCAACCTTGAGTATATGAATATGTCTCTCTACCAATATGATCAAATGGAACTTAAAATTTTGGACATTACTTCAAGTGGACTAAAATAATGCCAAACTCAAAACCCTAATTCTAACAAAATGACAACCATTCACACCTTGTTGATTGGTCTAAACCCATCCTACAGCCCTAGCAAGCTAAGTACCGAAGCCATACCTCCAACGAAGTTATATCGGTAAAAGATGCCAGCAGGATGAAAGGGCAAGAATTATAAGTGTAAACAGAAGGTAGTACCATGGGCAACCTGGGTTCAGGGTAGGTGGTTTTGTTTATGGTGATCAAGGTCAATAGTGAACATTCATAATGTTTGGTGCACTTGTCGTTAAATCTGAGCTACAGAGGTCATCTTAAAGCTGATTTTAAATAAGCAGCTCTGATATGTGACTTTGGGAGCTTCTGGACCTTAACTCCCATTGAATCTTTTACTAACTGATTTGGCCTGTAGAGAGACGGTCATCATTCTTAGCAGAGAAGGAAATACATTTAACTGGTTAGCAAATTGAAGCATCAATAGTAGTTTGGGTGTTACCGTATTAAGGGATTGTGCTTCAGCCCAATTGCATGATTTGACTGGGGCTTTCAAGCCCCATGCTTTAAGGATATGCCCCTTCTCTATCAGAAAAATTAGGAAGAACTAAAAAGAAAGAAGAAAGAAAAGACAATCCCAAGAAGGAAGAATGCTAGAGAATCAGAAAATAACATAGTAGAAGAGTATTGTGTTAGTGACTTAAAGAAGTATAATGCACATAAATCCAGAGGAAAAAAAAAAAAAAAGGTTAAATATGATACATGGAAAACTAATACGTTCAGATTCATATGGCATAAAACACCGATTTCTTTTTCCTCAACATATCCCAAAAACTCTAAATAATGATGTTCAATAGGTCTGTAAAACATGTATATTTGATTGTTTTAATGCTTACAGTGAGACAATTGGAGAGAGAGAAGGAAACAGAAGAAAATTAATGACACACCACAAAAATCACTATTTACAAAAAAAGAAAGTGTATGCTAAGAAAAAACTATCAGTTACAGAACTTGCATTCAAAGGACTACAAAATTGTACATTTCCAAGCCAACCTTGCATGGCAGCACTATTCCTTCTGGAAGAAAGAGAGTACAAGATCCGTATGTACAGAGAACAATTGTGTATCCAAAAAAAGCTGTATCACAGAATACAAGGAGAAAATAACATATCATTATGCTTCCAACTTCTACCACCATACTAAGTAAAATTTAAACAGCAGTAAGAGCAAGGAAAGTAATCATTTGGGCCACTACTTGAAATCAGATGGATATTGTTCCAAAATAACAATATGTTTACTAAAACCCTATCTATTCTTTTACTAGCATTCCAAAACAAATGGAAGAGATAACAAATAGTCCATAATAAACCCAGTAATAATTCCCGCAAAAGTAAACCACTAAGCATTATAAAAACATAGAGAGAAGGGGGGAAAAATTGTTGATGGCTAATGCCAAATCATCATATGCACCAGTGTTATATCAACCTGTAGTAATGCTACATTAATTATCTTACCAAATTATTTTGACTTACAATAAGCATAATATATTATGACAGAAGCTCAACATACACACCTTCATGAAAGGTCGATCTCGACTAGGGAATGACTCAATGAAACTCTCCTTCAAAAGCAATGATACCTATAAGTTCAAATGGAAGAATATGTTATATCATATCAAATCAATTAACCTGATGGCAATTCCATAACATGGGATAGTGTTTTTCTACAAGTAGTTGGATGAGAAGATGTATTTATGCATTTATATTCACTCTAGTATGACTGAGAATCAAGCTATGCAGTTCCCTTTGCAAGAGTGGTGATAGAGAAAAAGAAGAACTCATGTTACTAGAATAAAAAGGCATGATACCCATAATATTTAAAATCAAATAATTGTCTCTATGGTTTTGAACGCTTTCTATACTACTTTACTTATCAAAAAATAATACTTGTCTCTATGGTTCACACACTTCAGAATTAACCCCATGCCGAATTTATTTCTCTATACCATAACATATACAAAGGTAATTCACTGAGGAAATGAATGAAAGATTCAGAATACTGAGATACCCTCAATTCTGAAAAATAGATTGGGTGGTTCCTTGAAGAAGTCTAAGATACTGATTAATCTTGCATTTAGATTATAATTATTATTACTAGGGTCAAAGAATACCTAGATACCCTTTTAATTGTACTTTGATCCATAATAAGCATAAAACTATACACTAAATTTGTGCATGTTTTCCATCAAGTTCCGTTTACCACAAAATCAAGTACATCCAAACACCCTTCAATGTATGTGCTGTTGCTTAGTACTAATGGATACATTTATAATTTTAATCAAGTTATCCTAATTTTAAGATTAAATTTGTGTAACCAATATCTGTAACTTCAAAAGTATCCAGTTCAAAGAGCATTAGTACATAGAAATGCTTCTTTCAGATTCCCCCACCCCTTTTCCCTCTCTGTCTTTCAGTGAGATCTTGGGCGGCAACTTGGGTGGGCTAACCTAGCCCAACCCAAAATTTTGAAAATTGGGTTTTAAATTCACAAATCGGGTTCATGTTCGGGTTGGGTTTTGTCAAAACCCAGACATATTCGGGTTGGGCTCGGGCTCCCGAACCCAACCCGAAACCCAAAAAAAAATAATAATAATTTTTTTTTTTTTTTTCTCCTTTCTCTCTCCTCTCTCTTCTTTCTCTCTCTCTCTCTCTTCTTTCTCTTTCTCTCTCCGCCGCTTGAGAGTTGAGAGACAACAACGAGATCCACCGGTGCCAGGAACGCCTCCAGAGATGGTGACCTCCTCCGCTGGAGAGACGAGAATATCGCAGCTGATGCCATTCAAATTCCAAACTCTCTCTCTCTAAATATATGTATATGAATAGATATATGTATATGTCTCTCTCTCGAGAATCTATATTTCTCCTCCTTTTTATCACCAGATCCGTCAACACAAATCTTCCCACTTTTTGCAACTTGTAATTTGTTGACGAAGAGGAAATGAAATTCCTTTTTTCCAAACAAGCTGAATCTCGTTTTTATTAATACCAACTTTAAACAGACGGAATTGAAATTCAATATATATAAGTTAGCAGTTGCACAGAGAGAGGGGGGCAAGCTAGTGGCTGAAGCTTGCGAATGGCGAACCCAAACTGGAACTGACAGATATGGGTTTTGATTTTTTGAACAATCTGAAATGATATGCCGATCTGGGTTTTGATTTTTTGAACAATCTGAAATTATATGCCGATCTGGGTTTTGAACTTTTGATTCTTGCAGATAGATAGATAAAACTGAAATATATGGGTTTTGAACTTCTGATTCTTGTAGATTTTGTAGTTTGCAGTTGGAGAGAGAGAGGGGGGGGGGGGGGGCAAGTTCAGAGAGAATAGAGATGGAGGCGATAGGGGAGGCTGAAATGATTTGCCCTAAAATTATTTTGTTTTTTTATAATAATATAATCAGATATATATAATATATATATAATTCCGAAATTTTTTTTTTTTGTTAAAAAAACTCAACCCGACCCAACCCGCCAGAAAATATTCGGTCCGGGTTATGACCATAACCCATGTTGAATACAATTCAAGCTGGCCCAACCCAACACGCTTCGGGTTGAGGTTAGATTGGGTTGGGTTGGACCAGCCAAGTTGCAGCCCTAGTAAGATCATTTCTTTCAGAGAACTCTAACAGTCACTAAAACAGAAAGAAACAATAAGAATCCATTGCAATCCAATCAAATATATCTGGTTTACTCAATATTCTATTTGGGACAAAATACAAACCTTATCATCATTGGACTGAACATTTGTAATTGTGTGAGAACGTAGGTTAGAGCAAAGAGAGTCCAGGTATGATCTCAACACTGCTAGGAAACCATGGGCAGCTTCAACCTGCAAATAGTAAGAATAGCCATAAAACACATATTAGAAGCTAGGAAAGATATACTGCATCACCAGATGAACACCACGTATATGCTGCATTAACTAAAAATACAGAAACAAAGTACATGACAGAAGGAACGGCTAAGCAAATAACATGACAAGAAGCCAATTGCCCTAGAATATAAGGCGGCAAGATGTAAACTCCAAATCCCAAATAAAATCATGAGTAGATGGAGAAGAAATGCTGAACAATGACAAGAGTTATATAGAGGATGCATGTCCAATATATATATTGGCCTCTTGGGTTAACATGATAAGGCAATCCTTAGTTCATCTCTAAGTTAGTATTTATGTTTTGGTAATCTCTTCATTAAACCATACCAGCAATTGAAACCCCTTACCTCCAGAAAGATCAAATATGTTCCGAGGGCAATGATATTTTTTATGATAGTATCTCATTAGGAATGTCGGAAGAGCTGGTTGAGTGTACAACTGAAGAAATAAACTTCTGATTATGAAGTACAAGATAATGTTGAGTCTTTATGTTCATTTCGGTAAACTTTTGGGGAAATAAAAAAATAAAATAATAAAAAAAAACACTTAGATTTTAATAAAATATTTTTTGTAAAATGGTTGCAGATCAATTTGTTGATGCATTTTGTTGAATTTTAGATCATATTATATGCAAGGAAAATTTCAAATTTTATTATTTTCCCCTCCCAATCTTATTTTTGTTATTTATAATTATCAAATTATCTATTAGTATTGAATTGTCTGTATACTCTCCACGAACAGCATATCAGCTAATACTTCCATAACTGGGACTGAAATCTAAACCAAGCATGCATGCACCAAAAATGATATAGTAATACCATTTTAGCATTCATTAAAATCTTAATTTGAAACTAAGAACTCAAAAAAATGGTAAGTGCAACAATGAAAAGGACTGAATGTTAAGAAAATTGTTAAAAGATAGAGATGAAAGGGGATCAAGTAAGAGAACATACCTGCACATCAGTACATTCATGTACTGGCCTTTTCCTCCCCAAGTAACTTTCTCCCACAAGTTTTGCATGGTAAGGACTTAAGGAAGAAAATAACTCCCTGTGCTGGGGTAGTTGTGGTATTGTCGATGATCTGACCTATTGCCTCATGCAACAAAACGAAAGAAATCAGATAATTTAGCATGAAAGGTTATACTAAATGGTCTCAAACGGAAGAAGCAAAAAGTAAGAATCCACACTTTCCCAAAATTATCAAAGTTGATTTGGAGACATTTCATGGTGCTTGTTGTTTGCATATACATAGTGCTATTGCATAAAATTAGAAATGTACAGAAATGAATTAGAATAAAGAGGTTTAAAATTTAGTAGGACTAAAATTGAATATATGGAATATAAATGATCACTCTACAAAATCAAAGGATTATCCAAAGTGACCATTTTCGTTATTTAGGATACAAACGGATGGTAAGATAGAGTGATATAATTAGTAAAATTGGAGCATGTTGGACAAAATGGAGATAGGCTAGTGGTGTTTTATGCGATAAAAGAATAGCAAATAAATTAAAAGAAATTTTTTATAGAACAATGCCTAGGCCAACTATTTGCAGAGTGTTAGGACTTCAAAAAAGAAATAGGAACAACAAATTCACATAGCGGAAATGTGGATGTTAAGATAAATGATAGAAGTAATTATAAGAGAGAGGATTATTAATCAATGAGGCAGAAGTTAGGAGTGGTACCAATTAGTGAAAGTTAGGAGTGGTACCAATAAGAGAAAGTAGACTTAGGTGGTATGGGCATAGACGAAGAATACCTGTAGACACCGGTAAGAAGATAGAGAGACCAAGAGGGGGACCGAGATTAATATGGGGTGGAATTATTAGAAATGATTTTAAAGTTAAATGTCATAGGAAATATGGTTTGTGATAAAAATAAAAATATATATAGAAAAAAAAAAGAGGCTTCATATGGCCAATGACGTTCATATGTTATAAAGGCAAGAATGATGATGATTAAAGTTGATTTGGAGAAAGCAAAAAGAAGGGAAGCTCAGTAAATTTAGCTATTAGAGTTGATTTGGAGAAGGCTCATGTTAGTTTCTCAAAGATGTTCTCCTAGATAATGGATTACACCAGAACTGGCCATGGATTGTGTTGTGGGTGCACAAGCTCATGTCAAGGACGTCAGAAATTCTGTTACTAATTCTGTTAAAAAGAGTCTCACAGAAAAGGGTCAAATATGTTCATATCAGTTGAACTTCTTTTCAGTTCACATATAGATAATCCTACGCACATGTTCTTCAGCACAGTTGTCATTTGTATGTCTGTCTTTTTGTCAAGAGGGAATTTCTTTATGATATTAACAAAATAAAGTAAAGGCGGCGTGAAATTTTAGAGAATATTTATAAGAAAATAATGGATTTATTCCTTCCACTCCATCCCACATTTAAGTTTGGTGAGACTCTTCCACTTGCTTCATTTTAAGCCCTTTTTTTTTTTTTGGGGGGGGGGGGGGGGGGGTAACCTTTTATCAATATGTTCAAGAAAAAGGGTGCACAAACTTTTTGATGCAGCCCATAAAAAATACTTTTTTCCATAAGAAACTCAAGCCGAACGCCTGGACCTAATAGGAATCTCTTGGAAGTCGAGTTTTAGTTTAAGTTGCTTTAACTTAGTTTACTGGTGACTTGTTACATTTAATGTTTCCTATATTTAGGAGTGATGAGTAACGTAATATCATTATCTCAGACTTGCTCATTATCTTAAACTTGGGAAGTCAAGTTCTGTAGTTGCTTAGCTTTCACTACAATGAGAAATGAATCCAATTGCTAAGAAATACACACCTGGTTCTTGTTTACATCAACAAGAATGGCATTCGTTAATCTTGACTGTACTTCAGTGGTTTTGTTCTTTACACCAACCTACTCAATATAAAAGAGATACATCAAGATGAGTGGTGAAACTAAAAGAATTACAAGATAATTAAAAAAGGTGCAAACACATAGCAAGCAAATGATATTCTATAAAGGAAATGAATCCTAGAAACCTAAGATGCAAAACATCAATAATGCATATGATATTCTGTAATACAGAAAATACATATATGAATGATACATGGTGGAATCACCGAAAACATCAAAAGGAAAATAATAACAATAATAATAATAGGCACAACACAGGCACTTACGCACATACATACGAGTATGTAACCAATACCAACATCTATAGCATTCCCAACAATGCCAAGCATCTTCATCACCACAATCTTGCACTATTTCGGATATGTGGCAACTGGAGAGCAAATGGGTTCTTTATGCCAAACTACTTAGTATAAAAACATGTCAAGAAGAGACGTAAAAATATATAAATTACCAAAAAAATAAAAAAATGTACAAGCCAAGAGCATGATTACAAAGGAAATGGTGAATCCCAGAGAACCAACACAAAAAACATCCAGAGTCCATATGATATTCTATAATACCGAATAATACAGAACTAGCGCAAAGAAATATGTCAAAAACAACTTGATAAAATCAACAAAAGCATCAAAGGGAAAAATATAAACAACTAAAATTAACATACAGACACCAAAAGCACACAAGCAAACACACTCGTGCACACAGATATATATAAACATATAAACACTGAAACAATATCAAAACACTAATCCATTATCCAGTAACCATCCAGCCCAATAAGTGATACTATAAGTTTGTACCATAGTAGACCAATAACAATGTCTATAGCATCTCCACAATGTCACATATATTTTTTGTTACCAGGTATCTGACATAGTGCAAGATTGTTGCAAAAAAAACAAAAAACTAAATCTTGATGCAACTGTAGAGCAAATGAGAGATTTAAACCTTCTCATTTGCATATCCATTCCACCATAATGCCTCCACCTAGGATCCATGCTTTGACAAATCAATTAAAATAGACAAATACTTATAACTCGGGTAAAAAAAAAAAAGCTTTGGAGAACTCACAATGTATGGAACAGGTGCATCCAAAAAGTCCAGCATGTCATTTGGTAAAATCTGGAAGTTCGTGTACAGTAAATGAAGAAAATGACCCAAAAGAACAGTTAAAAAAGTTCAACAGTAATATAAGTACCCAGAAAAGTAATTGTTCACTAAAAGCAGAATGAAAAAACCTATAGGGAAGAAAGGAACAGTACCGGCATTAACAAGCTCTGCCACTGATAGGGACGAATAAGCGGGACTATTGACAAAACAGAGGCAGATAATATTCCCTGTGATATATCAAAAAATTTAAAATATGAAGATAATATTCTTAAGGTTTAACTGTATTATCACAACTACAATTTCATTCAAGGGATATCAAATCACATGACAAGAGCCATATAAGATAAATTTCAGGAGAATTTTCCTTGAAGAGCATCTACGTAAATTGTCACTTAAGCTCAAGCAGCCTTTGTCTAAACCAAGGCAGCTACAGCAAAACAGTCCAAAAGTACATGCAACTGTGAACTATATACACCTTCTGGAAAAGCCGCAAAATGCATCAATAAACATGATTGGTCCTAGAAATTTACTTTAGGCATCAGAATTGGTGGAGGGAGTAACTTTTTTTTCTTTTCATTTTTCTTTCTTGTTTTCTTCTTCTTCATTTTTTTAATTTTATTTGGTGGGTGGGTGCGTGTGCGTGGTGTTGGGGGGGGGGGGGGTCGCGGGCATCACGTCTGTGCTCCATAACTAAACAGCGCTAAGGCCATCACTAGGCAAGGACACCCAGCTGAGGGAGGGACAGAGAACCAACAATCCTCAGTTACAACAGTGAAAATTTGACCCAGAGAATATTCATCTGCACAAAAGCAAGATCAATCTGATGTGAGTGGTCAAACTGATACATACCAAATTAGAACAAACAATCACAATTTGCTTCTCCAGCAGAGCCCCAGCAAACAATGTTAACACCTGTAAAGCACAAGGAGAGTCAACAACTCTTAACATTATTAAGCCTTGACAATCAATATAGAGAAATGTAGACTGAAATCACTAAAGCTACAACACAAGGGACTAAATTAAACAACCACATTAACCCGAACAACACAAGGTAAAACAAAATTCAAAGTGAATCTAACTGATGGTGTCATGTCACCTTCCAACTCTTTTATCAAAACAGAAGATGAAAGAGAAAAATCCTGTGAATTTGAAGTCAGTTCTGTTTATCATTTTTTTTTTCTTTATCACACCAAATATTGTTCAACATTTGAAGTATCTAAGCTCCACCGAAAGGACAGTTTCTAGTGTTGATGAGGTTTCAACTATTCTAAATCAAGCAAAACCGAAGTTCTTTCATCCAAACCAAGCAGCGTTACGGCTCGCAAATGCATGATATTGACAGGTATGGACGTATGTCATGTGTTTTGCACAATCAGGCCAATAGAAAAGCCAAGATCCCAATTCTTAGGGGAATGGGGTAATCTAAACGTCCAAGACAAGGTGCCTCATCAAGTCCAGGGAGTAGAGCACAACCGCATATTTCTAAATTATGGAATTCAACCCCTTAAGTAATCATTCCAATTATATAGAGGGGAAAAAAAATCCTAAGCCATAAAATATCCATAAACCTTTGTCCATGCACCAAGAATAAGCAGGATATTCAGAAGCCACTCAGTCTATCTTAGACACATTATCAAAATTTTAAATGCCTATATTATATTTTGTAAGCAGTTGGATGTGGTAGTGTAAAAGCCATAAAAGAATAGGATGTTACTTCAGCTGATTTCGGCTTAAGGAAAGATTTTTTATTGAAAAAACACTTATAAATTACATCAGATAAACCGCTTCAGTCAGTTCCTTGGTATACTAACTTTTCTAAACAATAAAGCTACGTCATAATCTACTTGTACCAATCCAGAGTTAATTGTTCTTCCACGATAAAACCACAAATTTCACCAGTTTTTTAAGTACAAAATCATAATTCCAAAGTAAAACTATCTTAGCATCATCTAACTGCATCAAAGAAGATCTTAAGTAGTAAAGTCGGATAACAAGCAATATATTGGCATCTTCACTAAAGATCTAGGTCTACCAACTGAACCATGAAAAAAAAAAATTTTAATTAACAACAATAACAGTTTCATATTTGCATATTCGGCCATTGCTGCTATGATCTACCAGTAGAACTGGACAGAATATACTTGGATATGCAAGTTTAATTTTGAACCTAAGACACTTATCATGCAGCTAAACATAACAAAAATCATCTCCCCACCACATGGAAAAGTTTGTATACAGAGTCATTCCACATGTACTAAGAATATTTTCAATTAAATCAGATTGTCATGTCTTTCCTCATAACCTTAGCCCACATTATTTTAGCTTTCTATTGACCGGGCATTGCCTTCAACTTGGACCGAGAAGGGAAAGAAAGGAGGCTGCCCAAACTATGATAGAGACAAACTAATCAAGGTAAGATCCACATTGACGGTGAGGAAAATCTATATCACTATAACATCATTGTAACAGAATACTCAAAGTATAGCAACGACATTTATCAATGTCATTTATGCATTCACTAGATGTGGTGAATGTTGTAGTAATAATTATTGCTGATGGCATGTTTCTTAACACCGGACAGCAATTCCACAATTACAGTAAGAATTTCAAATGCCAGCATTTGAAATAGTCTTGCCTTTCCTGAATATATAAAGAAACAAATTTATGCATGTGTCTGTGGACAAGATCCAGAAGAACTACAGCTGATGAATTAGAAATTGCTACATGAAGAAATTGTAAACAATTAGACAGCAATATTTTAATTGAGAACAATTCAGAAATGCCACTTCTAGATAGAGCAAAAAGTTACATTTTCAAGTCGCAAGGAGCCACATAAGCAAGCAACCGCCCATACTGATAAAGCAGTTGCCTCTTCCTCTGCCATAAGCGCACTGTGTGCCTATAAAATAGTAAATGTATAAGATACCAATACACAAAAGACTGCCAATGTTCAAAGGAAAACACAAGTTACATCCAGTAGCAAAAGATAAATTAAACAAAAATCAACTACAAACGCATGGTATAGTTTTGCTTTTTAAAAAAAATAATAACAAAAATTGGTGGAAAATTTTAGCCATTGTTACAACCACAATCTACCTCTGCTAATTCCAAACTTGTACTGCATGATTTCAAATCAATTTTTGAGCCAGCAATATGTAGAACTGTCTCATGAGGTCTATGATATTCCAAAGGATGCAGGTGCTCCAAAGGGTGGAATGTAATTTCTGAACCCCTTGCAGGGCAATGTAACTGGTAATACTTGCATATTATTTGTAAGGATCCATGGTTGTTTTCCTGCAATGTTGCATAAAGAAAATGTGAAATCTGAATAGAAGACTTCAGGAGAACAAAAAAGATATAGCAGGGAGATAGAAAAACATATGGTAATATCTGAAACAATATTTAAACCTTAGCCCATTCAAGAATATCACTGTGGTCATTGGAATGTCCCTGGCCAGAGAAGGACGCCTCTTCCATCTCTGCTTCATAGGCGTAACTCCTAAAATTTCTGTCTTCACTAGGAGATTCCCAGAAACTGTATCAAACAATGTATATGGCATATTAATAGAAGCTCACAATCAACCATGCCATATCCACCGAAAAATAGTATTTTGGCTCTAACAGTTCGCTGTAAGACAAGCAAACACAACCTCTCCTGTCTATATAAAACAAAATAAACAAAACCAATTTAGTCAAGGCACCGATAAAGTAACAAGGTTTTTGACCTCTCTCTGCATAGACTAGTACCAAGGCAACAAAAACAAACTTCTACCTTTACCTTTGGTAACTTTACAGATTCAATCTCTGCGGGAGTTCGAATCTCTCTGGCTATCATTATATATATAAAAACTTACAGAGGGAAAAAAATTTAATATTGTGAATGCATGTTTTGAACTTTTGATGCGCGAAGCATATAGAAAACATAATTTAATTCTCATTGTGATTCTCTTGCACTGAATCTAACCTCCGACATGAAGAGGAAAACTAGAATTCACACAGCTAACAGTAGGGCACAATTTAGTTGTGATATTCATACACAAAAATTGCTACAATTAAGGTAAAAGCACATTCTTAGTACCTTTTCTTCGCTTAAAAGAGACATTGAAATATAATGCTATGGTATTTTTGTATATCATTAATGAGTAGCAAAAATTAGAGTTGTAGTACCTTTTACAAAACTCATGAATGAAGACCCATTTTAAAAATAGGTTGATAGTATGGATCCCAGTAAACAATTTTCCTTTCTTTTCTTTTTTTATAAAAGAAGACAACATAGATCCTGAGTGTGATGACCCTGTGGGCGGGTGTGCCGTGGGCGGGTGCGAGAGACACTGTCAGGCTACCACACTGGCGAGCTACGGGTGCACAGTCCCACATCGCCTGGGTAGAGGAAAGGTGAAGTACTTATATGTAAGTGTGTCACCTCCAATTGGTATGAGGCCTTTTGGGGTGAAACCCAAGAACAAAACCGTACGGGCTCAGGCCCAAAGCGGACAATATCATACCATGTGGTGGAGCGGGTCGTTACAAATGGTATCAGAGCCTGACCCAGCCGGAAGTGTGGCCAACGAGGACGTTGGGCCCCAAAGGGGGGGTGATTGTGATGACCCTGTGGGCGGGTGTGCCGTGGGCGGGTGCGAGAGACACTGTCAGGCTACCACACTGGCGAGCTACGGGTGCACAGTCCCACATCGCCTAGGTAGAGGAAAGGTGAAGTACTTATATGTAAGTGTGTCACCTCCAATTGGTATGAGGCCTTTTGGGGTGAAACCCAAGAACAAAACCGTACGGGCTCAGGCCCAAAGCGGACAATATCATACCATGTGGTGGAGCGGGTCGTTACACTGAGCAAACTACGGCATGTATCACAAAATCATTGGCCAAGCAAGGGATCTATTTGAACCTGATATATCATATGGATGTGCAAACAATGACACAACAAATGATTTGCTCAAGCAAACAAGTCTCCAAAGCTGAATTAAGAAAGTACCGGTTGAATGACAGTGAAAAATGGAAAAGAAGTACCTTGAGGAAGATTCAAAGCTTTCATTCTGTTTACACAGCAGAACGGGCAAAACAGCATTCGGTAAATGCCTATCCACTGGCTGCTTGTTTGTTACCAAATCAACATGATCATCACAAGTTTCAGAGTTTTGCATTCCAGGTTCTAATTCCGATGGAAGCTTCTCTGTTGCAGGAACAACGGCATTGTCGTTGATGCCTTCCTTCGACAAGTGAAGGTTCTCCTCAAGTATTTGATGCTCAAGCTGACACCCATTATTTGTTACTCTTCTAGAGGTAGAGTCACTTGTGCTTAACTGGGGAGTTTCTATTGTTCCAGTCAGCATGTTGTGTGCTCTTTCCTCCAATGAAATTATACCCAAACCTTCTTCTATATTTCCTTCCTTGCCATATCTCTCAGGCAACTCCAAATCCAAACCTTTTGTTAACCGTCCCAATCTTTCTTCAGTGAAGATACTGCAGAAAAAAAAAAAGGAAGGGGAAAAAAACGATGATGGCAAATGAGCAATAACACTAGAAATCTAAACTAATCTTTTACATCGAATAATAAAATGCTTGATATAATTTTCAATGGCATATTCTCCAACCATGCAGGTCTTGCTTGATTCAATGGTAAAACTTAGGGCTGACAAGCTGCCGCTTTATGTAAAATAATATCAAAGGTTTAGTGTGTCTCCAGGCTTCCCTTCCCAGTACTCCGCAGGAAGGAACATTACTAGGTAATGGCTATTTTTACATTCCCCAACAATGCATGTGACAATATTTTCAAAGAAACCAAAAAATCCATGAATTACATTTACATTACATACACCATTGAGCAAATGGGATAAAGAACAGAAAATATGCAACATTAAATTTTGTATGTAATCCCTAAAAATCCATTCATTGCCAAAAGGCCCTGAAATAATATTTACTTGAATAACTAAAAATTGACTTAAATGCAAGATTTTATTTAAAATTTGAAATATAGAGTCAAAATATTAGGATCCTATTGTTTGTCCAAATTATAATTTCATTTCCATCCATCCTTAACATGATTCTAAAAGCTACTATGAACATATGCTTGCTGATACTCATGTAATTCTGAAATTAGAATCAGATATTTATACATGCAGACCCTATATACCCATGACAATATGACATTGATGCATAAGTAGACAATTCTATCATATAATTATTAATTACATAGGGTAACCAATCTAGGTTCTTCTCACTCGCTGGCTTCCAATAAATGGCCCTGCTCCCCAACCAGTTCTAAAGCTATTATATTATAATGCGTTTTTCGAAAGGCCAAATTTTACTGACAGTATAAAGTTTCTATTTTTTCTGCTGACATTCATATAATAATTCAGTTACACAAAATACTAGCATACAAAAGGAAAAGGTTCATAATCCATCATCTGCAACATGATTCTGCCAGAGTCATCACCGGCAAAATCAGTTGAACAAATCAAAGTCAAAGTTCATACAAGATATAATTAAAAACTCCTTATAAACCAGGCACCAGGATTACACACCTATTTAATACACCAAAGTGCAGTTCAAAAAATGGAAGCCTGGTAAGAATGCAATAGCATCGTCGTGTGGTTAATATATGGCGACTAAGACTGGAGCGAAATGGTTGTCCATCTGAAATCATGGAAACCAAGCTGGACGGTTTTTGCACTATTTCTTCGACAAAAACACAGCAACCATACAAAGTCGAATCATCGGCAACCTAAATAACAGAAACACTGTAAGAATGTATCTTTCAGAAAACAAAAAAAAAACTAACTAAAATACAAGGTCGGAGAAAAAACAATTTAAATTTTAGAAAACAAACAGTACTTAAAATATAAGCTTGACACAAAACATTAATTATTTGCAATGACATGGATAATTAATTGTTACAACAAACGCAGCGAACCCAAGAACAAATCAAGAAACACGACAGAAAATAAACACACCACACAAAGAACACAAAGATTTAGCGTGGTTCGGCAAAGCCTACATCCACAGTGAAGATCCAGACTCATCTAGCGAAAGGATTCACTATGCGAAAATCTAGAGATTACAAGTTTCGGCCCCCAAACCCTAGCTCTCGCAGTCACTCTCTTTTTTGTGATTTTCAGTGTCTCTCTATCAACCACTCCAAACCCTAAATGCTCTTATATATCAGGTTTACGACCCACAAGCAAAACTTGGGTCAAGAAATTTCTTGGGCCTACACAAAACTTATTCAACGGGTTGTAAACAGGTCGCGGCGACCTGGCACCAAATTCGGGCCACAACATCACATTAATATTGATATAATTAAATGAACTAATAGCCAAATTATTTTATCAACTAAATGAACAAAAGTACTTTCTTAACAAAGAGCAAACAGTATAAAACACAAGCAATCCCACTGAAGTCTGCCGAAGATAAAAAGTATAAGTATTAATTTAATCACCTAGGAGATGGTATTTCAAATGATAAATTGTCTACATTATTGCATAGACAAATAAGTGACTAAGTATACAACTTTGACAACATTTCAGTCGTTCAATTAATTTATAGTTCCATAAGTATAAATTTCATTAACTAAATTATTACAAACGGCAATGTATCACTATTTTTTTTTTGGTTTATATGAAATATAGGGACTGATACACAACGCTGACACGATAGAGTGCATGCGGTAAATTAGATAAAGAGGGGTAAAAAGGTCTTATGGATATTTTTTTTATTTTATTTTTTTTTCTTTTTAAAATTACTGTTGATTGTGATTTGAATTTTGGTGATCTAGTTTGATTTTCATACACGCAATTAAAACATAGAAAAACAAATAGATAGAGCAAAGATAACATGATCTTTGCGTGAAAACCCTAAACAGGGAAAAACCACGGGATCTAGTCCAGCTATGAAGAATCCCTCGAGTGTTTTACAACAAGGAGTTCATCAAAATCAACACAAAGAAAGTCAACCAAACAAACAAAGAGCAGAAGGATTGAACAAGTCGTGGATTTAACTAAGAGGCATGTGCAAGATTTACAACACATTGTCCCATTATATACTACAGTTATTGGTATGGAAGCTTTAAAACAGCAACCAAATGTAATCTTAATTTCGATTCTATGCCTAACAATACTTGATACTCAAGTTAAGACCACTAATATGCAATTAAAAAAGGTAGAACACAGAACATTGCAATTAAGGAAAATGATCACTCTGTAAACAAGCAGATGCAAATAATAAGTCTGCATAGATACTGCAATCATCGTTTAGAAATAATGAGAACTCTATTTCCATTCAACTAACTATAAAATTTAATATCTCACACACTTTTCTTTTTTTTTTGAAAAATAAGTTCATGTTAGATTTAAGTTTAATGCAAAAGCACCAGATGTCAAATAAAACTAAGCAGATTCAGTATTACCTGCAACCGGAATACAAACGACAGGTCACTTTGTTTAAGGTGTTCCTGAAAAGCTAGCAACATGTTAAGATGAGATCATTGTTTAAAAGGAAACAAATTTATAATTTAAAATAAAATAAAATAAACTTATTTTTCATATCATATCACAAGTTGCAAAGGCTTATGCATCTTAATATTTAGATAAAAATCCTTTTGTTAATAGTTTTTAAATATAACGGTCTTTTGATAATCATACAAGTTACACACTATGATCGATCCTGCAGAAAATTAAAATAAGGAATACCACTTTTTTCTGTTTTTATATTGACGTAAATGACAGAAAAATGTGGAGATCAAGCAACAAACTTAACAAATAATATATAATTAATAAGATACACCAAAGTGGAGATGAGAATAAATTTGTTGACTGCAACAGAAAATTTTCACATAATAATATGATTAAGACACTGCAACACACCTGCCCAAGAAGTATTTCATTCAACTCACTCATTGATGGAGTTCTCTCAACTGCGTGAACCTGAAATATATATACTACCATCAAACTCCAATGAAAAATATCAGATCAGATTCATGAATGACCAAATATATAAACATTGAGAAAAGATAAGATGGGCAAGTCTCTAAAGCAAATAAATTTGACTCAACAAATTCTTTTCCCAACAACTTGGGGTCACTAAATGAATCTAATTTTTCCATTAAGATTCATGTTCATTGGTCCAGACAAAATTTTTTGTTAGTTGTCAAGTTACCTAATGCAACCCTCCTCCTATTCCTGGACTTGGAACCGGCTATGAACGGGCAGGGTTCTAAAGCAAATCAACTAAGTGAAAATAAAGACTTTAACTAAGCAAAAGTATAAAATTAAAGCAAACAAATCCACAACCATATACTGATTATACTAACAGGCAAGAAAAATAAGTGAGACCATACAATAAAGAGTCCAATTACATAGATTAACTATTAAAAAGAGAGAGAGAAAAAGAAGAAGAAGACTAACTGGAAAAGTTTCAACTATTTAATTTTCACAATATATAAACATTTTTATATATTTTCATAAAGTATAACGGATAAGATGAAAAACTAATAGCCAAGTTTATAATAACATTGTAATTTATTTCTCAAAATACTGATTAAATTGTGGGTCACAATCCCTTATTTATGCAGAGATGTAGCGGAGAGATCAGGAAATTTTCCTTGGCATTTATGTGATGAGATATTCAATACACAGCTAACGATGACAATCCATAGCTTACTTTTGTTTTTTTCTTTTTGAATTCCATGTCAAATTCTTAGCAAATTAATAATGATTATTCAACAAAAAAATTCATTGACAACAGCCAAATGTTTAAGATAAGTCTCAACTTTGGGTTAAGTTATTTTGTTTTCCGTAATTTAAATTAATGAGGACTGGGCAATTTGGGGCTGTCATGAAAAATTACAAAATTTTAGGACAACAAAAATTACAAGAAGCAAAGGGACTCAGCCCAAATATATATATATATATATTTTAATCAAAATATATTTATGTGTTGAAGCTAGAATTAAAAGGCATTAATGATAGTTTAGGAAACTTATCAGAAAATGTTGCAAACTTTAGGGGAGGATTTTACTCATAAATGAAAAAGGATATGAAAGAAACATTTGAAACTAAAGCAGCTGCCTGCTAGTCCTTTGCATAGTACATTTATCAATGAATAAAGAAACGAAAAACTCATCATATAAACACCTACCTCTACACCACCAGGAAAGCAAAATGAAAGGAGATCCTTATATTTAAGTGGCAGCTGTTTTTCAGGTGGGTAAACAAATAGGACCTGGAAAAAGAAATCAGAAAACCATATCTCATATTCAAAACATTTGCAATGGCCTAAATGCAAACATAGTCAACACTTCACGTAAAGGAATCAGCACCTGCGGTTCAAGGCTCGGTTCTATTCGCGATTGATGTTGACCACTAAGTGCACTTAGAAATCTCCCTGAACCTTCAGACTTCCTTGCAAAGTACTGTTTTTGAAGTGCCTGAATATCACAATTAGGATGAAGTCCAACAACTACCATGCTCTCAAATAGCCTTGATGGTTCTTTCAAAGGTCTATGATCCTGCACAATTAAATAATAATATTTACTATGCTTATAAAAAAAAATAGAATTTCATTTTCATAATGTATTAAGAGGAAAGGGAATGCAAAGGATTTAAAATCCTCTATATCCACAGATTTTTATAAAAAATAGGCAGTATTCCACATCATAATTTATAAACAGCATCACACAGGTTGCACAACTTATTTCAATTTTTATTTTTTATTTTTTATTTTTTATTTTTTTTAATTAAAGTACTATAGTGACTATTCAGAAAGCAATTGCAATTTAAAATACGTACTAGATTTTGAAATAAAGTAAATTTGACTTACAAGAAAGACAAAAAGAATGTTTAGCAAGATGAAGAAGTGATTCCTGATGAGATTAGTGACATGGACCCAAATGGGTTCACTAGACAGAGCAAAGCATACCAGGGATTGCAATTGAAAGTTTGCCCATTGACGCTTTTGGCTAGTTAGTAGCTCTGGGTTGTAAGTTACGCATTTCACTTCAGGAGCTTGTGAGAAGCCTTTCAGTACTCTAGAAACTTGGTGCTGAAGTTTCCGGAGTTGGCTACTACTGTTATCATCTTTCGATGAAAATACCACAGATGGTCGTGATGAACGAACAGCTGTGGCAGCTGCCGCTGCAGCAGCAACAGCTCTTGCAACATCCTCTGTAGTCTGCATGAAGAATGAAGTACTCCAACCAGGGCTACCTGATTCTTCATTCTTCTCCATGATAAGAATTTCCTCCCTACCAACAAAATCATAAATAATAAGCCAAGCCTGATATACACAACTCGGGAGGAAATAACTGCTTGCACAAAAGCTTAAAAATATACTGAACATCAAGCTCAAAATATCTGTACCAGCTAAACTTACAACTAGAAGTGGCTATCCAAAATGTAAATAAATCAACTAGAAATTGAAAATCAAGACAAGAAGTAACACCTCAAGGCTCAAGCCTCAATGGTTATGCCGCTTAACAATGAAATTTAAGTGACAAATACACCAAGACCATTGAAGCTTATGCCTCTTAACAATGAAATGTAAGTGAGATATACACCAAGATCCTTGAAGCCGAACTATGATTGAATTTTGAGCCTCGCATCAAATATTAACCAAAACCACAAGACAACACTCAGTCCACTCCTCTCAATCCGAAGCACAAATAACATTTCTTCTCTTTCATTATCTATGTAAAGCATATTAACATATGTTTCCTATCTTTGACCCAATTAGTTGCCATGAGTACTTTTCAACACTTTTGGCTTGTAAAGGATTTCCTGACAGAATACAAAAGGATATATGGCAGTTGAGTTGCAATACAATTGGTTATAACTTCTTTGCTTGACAGTGATGATGACTATGGAAATGAGATATCTTATGCACATATAAGTAGGAAGCTAAAGGCCAACCCAACTCTAGTCCTTATGTATTACCTCACTCCTCCACCTCACAATACAATAACCCAATAATATGCAGTCAGCAAAATGACCCCTCTTTACTTTGGTGAAAACTTCCCTTTGCTATTTTAGGAGTTGCAAAATTTCAGTGATGCTAATAATATATATATATATATATATATATATCTTATTTCTGCTACTACGGAAGATAGTTGAATATCATCCAAAAAAATCTCTAATCCCAATAGTAACCACAAAATTGGAAATAGAAATTCTAAGTTCAAACAGCAAATATAAGTTATAGCTTTTCAGAGTCTTTGAAATCAGTTTAGTTACTTTCCTTCTTGCTAAATTTATCAGTTGTCCAAGCTTCAAAGAAAATTTATCATGAATTACATCATCTAAGAATAGATACACTTCGAACTCATCATTGACTGACTTTCAATGCAAGAAGCAGTTGATTAAAGCAAAAGACTCTCTAATAAAAAATAAAACAAACAGTTCAATTACATGTGACAATCATAATCAAAACATGAACACAGATAAAAATGTCAACTTTGTGAACAGAAGGTGATTACCTGCGAATAAGAGAATTTCAAATGGTCCCAAAACAAAGAGAAAATGAAAAAAATAAATCAAAGAAACATTTAGGGTAACAGTTTCTAAGAGCAAATTGGACGCATTAATGTAAAAATCGCATGAGCAAACTCACCTTTTCAGATCATCGAGAAATCAACAGATAAAGATACACGTGCATACATAAATACATAGATACATAGATATGTAGAGAGAGAAAGAGGAGATTTTATAGAACAAGATTCAGGCGGCCATAACCAAGAGAGGCCTTCTTGGTGTTCCTTCTGGAAATAAAGAAACCCCCAAAGAGAGAAGTGAAAGAACGATGAAAGAGTTATTAACGTAAATGTCTAATTAATTAAGTAATTAACTGTGACTTTTAACTTTTATTAAGAAAAAATATAAAAGGGTAAAGAAAACTGAAAACCCTCGTATATAGTGCTTGCTTTTTCTTTTTCTTTTTTTCAATATTTCAAACTATACAAAACTGCCTTTAACCTGTCTTGGTAAAAAAATATGGTAATTAAAATCATAATCTCATGGTAAGAATTTAAAACGTTTGCTTTCTTTGTATAGTTTTAGTTAAAAAAACAGTTGTACCTTTTTGGTTGGATTATTATTATTATTATTATTTTTTTACTTTCTATTTCTCTGTAAAGGGCAATTTAGTAATTTTAATAACATTGTTACCCAAAGTTGGTCTAACTTTTTTATCAGTGCAATGATTAATTGCCGAATTGATGCTACAAAAAAAATTGTTTTTCTTATTTTTTGTTTTGGAGATTTTAGGCGAAGACTTTTCACCGATTTGGATAAAACGTGTTAAGAGGTTGAGAGGGTGTTCAGTAACATGCAGGAACCATTCTTGGTTACCATTTTTTATGTTGAAGCTTTCCTTGAATTATTATTATTTTTATATATATATATTTATTTATTTAATTTAGCGGCTAAAGTAGCTTTCTCTATGGTGCACGCCGCGATGGCGTGGAGTGCGCCTCGTTTCCATGGCTTAAACTACAAATAATGTCCTTGTACACTGTTTTTTCACGCACACATGCGGAGTATATATTATATAACAATATACAAACAAATGTTAGTAGTATTATTTAACCTCTTTTAAATTTTATCTTTAATTAATGGATTTTCATTTACTAATGTTTTAGTATATATCGTATGAGAGTTAGCTAGATTTTAGATATATATAATCTTAGTTTTGCATTAAAATTACTATTTTTAATTCCAAATTTATGATCTTTAAAATGCAATATAATATATTATTATAATATAAGGACAATAATAACTTTTCACACTGAAAATCACTTTTCAACAACGACAAACAAATTTAGGAAACACGAAAATAATAGTAGTAAATGCTTAAACCATATGTAATTTGTCAAAATCTTAAGAGATGTCAATATAAAAAATTATTAACAAATAAGTTAAAATAATTTATATAAAACATTTGTTTGAAAAAATATATATAAAAAATAAGAAAGTGCAATCATTAATTTTGTAATCTTATTGAGACTAAAAAAAAAAGAACAATGTATTTATGTAATTGAAATGAAAATGTTGAGATACAGTTACAGTGATTAGAAGAAAATTAAAATAATCAAATTCAAATGTTAAATTATTAGTGATGCCTATAAGACGACAAGAACTAATTAGTTTGTAGAGAAGAAAACAGATAAAAGAGAAACTAAACTAATATGTGTCAAAGAACTAAAATCGACATATAATTTTTTTTTTTTTTTTTAATATAATTGGAAAACTAATTTACAATACAATATAAATGACAGAAAATGATGATGAGTATGAGTCATACTAAAAATATATATTTAAAAAAAAAAAAATTGTTTACATTTTTTTAAAAATATACATGTGTCAACTATTCTCAACACTACTTTAGTTTAATAATTATATAAAAAGGGCATGGATGATTGAGATAAATGCTTGTAAAAAAAAAAAATGGGATTCACCAAAAATTGGTGAGCCGTGTGGACTACACCTTAACACATCTATTACGAATTTCCTTTTTGGTGTTCATTCCAACTACCACACATCTATTATGAATTTTCTTTTCTTTTTGTTTTTTTCTTTTCTTAGTTTTAAAGCATAGAAATTTACAGGTCAAAGTATGTTTACCGAAGCACTAATACCTTCCTTATCTTCTCATCATGCTGACTTGGTGGTTATTGACCAACTTAACTGGTTTTTCCCTGCAAAGTTGGCCAGTGTTCAAGTATTCAACTCACTACAATAATATAAGACCTTAATAGTCTTTCTTGTGTGTCTTTTTCTTTGTTGGGTAGGTATACACACGCACACAAACATAAAATTGGAAGTAAATCTTTATTTTCATAATGTTTTAAATATAATATTCATCATCTCATCAGCTTAACCGTTTCGACTAATCATGGTGGGGTGGGTGGCTATAATATCTTGATCATGGTTTATTAATACATCTATTGCTCTACTGTATTGTGTCATAACACCATTTTGAAGATGAAATAAGACTTGTGCGTATTTATATATACAAGAACCTCAATGATAGGGCTCATTGATTCTTCAATTCAAATTGCATGTAACATATAACAAAATAATATGAAAGTTGTATGAGTTTTGTCGATAATGGTAATGTAAGACTTCTTAAAATACTCATAATAAACGGTGAATGAAAATTATTTGAGTTTTATCGATGATAGTAGTGTCAAACCTCTTAAAGCACTCCATAATTTACAACCCAAGTATACATATAAAGTTTTGTTCCAGTTGAGTTAGAACCATCAACATCCTGAATATGAGAGCCTTGTCATTGGGCTATCTTCTTGAATTCTCAAGCTATTTAGTTTGAGCAAGTTTACTTGCAAAAATCCGAGCCGAGGGAGAGAGACACTACCACTTTTTATTTAAGTAGAATTCAAAAAAAATAACAACAATAAAATTGTCAAAAGAGCCATTACTCTGTGTGCACGCGTGCTTATATATTTATGTTTTAATGCTTTTTGGAGCTCCATGAATTGCAATTGTGCATCTCAAAAGCCTCTAGGTCAAAGTTATTGTGATAGCCAGTAGAGCATGGGAGAATTTACACTTGGCGGAGAGTATCTTTATCTTCACATGTCCAACAAAAAACAATGATTCCTTTCTATTATGGAAATTCTTCTTTTGCTTTAATAACATGGGGACATTGAGTGCCTATGGAATATCATTTATTTCTTTAATAGCTACATTAAAGAATAAAAATAAAGACTTTATACTATTTATTAGTCATGATGCCATTAATTGCGTTTTTCTATGGTTCGCCATGGTCCATGACACCTTGTGCAAAATTATGAATTGAAGCACACAATGATCACACAAATGTGCAGTTTCCAATGGCATTGAGACTGATAGGGGCTCATGGCTAATTCATAGACCAATTCTTGAAGGATGGGTTTTATGACAGAACAGAAAATTGTTGGATCTATCTGCAATCTGGACCAACTTTAGCACACTGAGCCATTAACCTAAAGATAGGTGGGTTCGACTCCCATAGTAGACACGTGTGTGTGTGCGACAGTTTTGAGTATTTACTTCAACGAATAAGTAAATAAATAAAATCTGGTGCCACTTTTTTATTGCAAGTGGTTCAAGCAGTACTGGTAACAGCCATGGGTGTTATTCCAGTGGACATCAGAACTTTGATGGCCATTGATGACCTTGATGCCATGAACAGTTGCTTAAGAGGAAGAAAATTTGGGATGCATACTAATTAATACATTTACAAGATTCTTCTATTTGGAATTTTTTTTTTTTTTTTTTTTAAATAATTCATTAAATCTAGAACAAATATGTGCTTCCAGACTTCCATTGACTGATGATCAACATATCCAGAAGGTAATTTAAAAATTGTGTTATACAGCCATTATAGCTGGGGTCAACTAGCTTTGCTATACGAATGAACACAAAGAAGAATGCAGGCAGCAGAAATTGCAAAAAACAATATTCTGTCATGCACAAACTTCAAATTTCACTTCGCTAGTTGCTACGATGCCACCACACGACTTTAGTCTCAAATGGCATGTTTGGAGTAAAAGAGTCCAAAATGTTGCTCTGAGCCATAAGCAAATCTGAAATTTTTGTTGAACACAACAAAAACGAACCCTTCTGTGTAAGCCAAAGTCCTTTCTGGTATTCCATTATTCATGACATGTTGCACAAAGTAGTAATTATAATTCGCTGCAAGTTCTGGAGTAGTAAAATTACCATTCCCAGCAGAACGCCAACTGCTCTCAGACACCACCACAACCACATCTGTCACACCCTCCATCTCACTAGCCAATAAAAAGCATCCCCAATGGCATCAAAAGCTTCAAGTAACTCAGCTTTTCGTCCCAAACCACTGGGTCATTTGCAATCAATTCCACAGAGTCTGAGCATAAATTAGCTGGATTTTCTGCATAGGCAAATTAAGTATACATTGATAGTGAGTGGTGATACTTGTGCAGATAAAAAAAAAAAAATAATAAAAAAAAAAAATAGAATGTAAATAAGTCCATCACATGCCTTCGCTAAGAATGCACCAGCTGAAGTTGACAGACACACTGCAATTGTCACCTTAATACTAGCTAATTTTCAAGCATGGAGGATGTTGTGAAGATCTGCATCTTCACTTGCAAGCTCCATGCTGATAGCCTAATTACCAACATAAGTATGTGAGAATACATGCACCGATGTACGGTGCCACGTCTGCTGAAAACCATTAATTGACAGCTACTTGGCTCAAGACATATCCTGTATAACCTCATTTCTTATGCCTGGTAAGACACAGATTTGGTTCACCGTTAGTGCGCGTCTGGGATTAGAATGGAATAGCCTCATTTTGTCAATACCATATTTGTTGTAAAGGTACAAATCACATCAGCAGCAGAAGGAAGGTCATTACATCTCGATCCATAACAAATAGCCAAAACAATTGACGCTGCTGTGGTGCCAATTAGGCTAAGCTAGCTACTTATAATGGAGAGAACGAGTGAGTGCCAAAAAGCCAAATTTATTTCTTATCTTTTTCTGGAAATCCAAATACCTTAAACTTAATAGATTTATTTGGTACTTGGGAAAAATCCTTCACAGGAATTGCAGAAAGGGGCTGGCTCAAGTTGAGGCATTATAAGGACAGGAAGAATTAAAATGATGCGAGTTAGGTTGTGTGAAAAAAACGATAGCCCAGGAACTAAACAGAAAACTTGGCTCAAGTAGAGCAGATCGGAGAGGAAGAATTCGCACATCAAGTCGCACGCTTTTGGTATGAGGTCTGTTTTGTTCTTATAACTTACCGTGATATTCAAGTTTTTTCTGGCTATCCATTCGAAGCTGTTTTTGAATCAATCTTCAATAATTTCTACACCCCCTCCTCAATTCTGGCACCATTCTGAAGTGTTTCAATATTGTCAAATTTGGTCACCAGTTATCCATGCAAGAGCAATATCCTTCCTCACAATGATGAAACTGTTTCCGATCTCTCACAGCAATCTTCCTTTTAAAAACCTTTGAAACAAGCTTAATTGCACTATGGCAGTCATTGCAAATCCGAATGTTCTTCATAATCCAAAACATGGATCCAGGCTTTGTGCAGATTAACCCAAAAGCCAGGGCCAGTTTCTCACTATAATATCCAATTACAGCTCGGGCCAGTTTCTCACTATGATATCCAATTACGGCTTCCTTCTCCTCCTCTTCTACATCAAACTCAACCCCTTTCTCTCACCCTTGTACCCGTATTTCTTTATCTCTTTAACTATTTTTTCTCACGCCATATAAATCGGGTCTGCTTTTTCATGGTATCTGTCCCCTGCAAAAAACTCATGAACAACACCATTCACTTCAATTAAACTACACCCCTGTACCCGTTTTACCTTTCTTCTTCTCATAGCTTTCCTGACTTCTTCAGCTTCTTCTCCTTTCATGGACTCAGCAAAAATGCTTGAAAGTGCAACATAACGACCATCATGGTTTTGATCAGACTCTATTCGTAAATTCCCAACTCTTTGACTCATTTCAGCATTTCCATGAACCCTGCAAGCATTGAAGAGAGCCCCCCATACAATATCATCTGGTTCAATCTGCATTGAAGCAATGAACTTCTCAGCCTCATCCAACAAACCTGCACAGCCGAGAAGATCCACCATGCAGGCATAATGGTCCAGTTCTTGTCTTATTCCATGAACATCTAAGATTGAGTGGAAGTAGTGGAAACCCTTCTCAACCTAACCAATGTGACTACAAGGGCATAAAACTGCAATGTAAAAGATATAATAAGGTGAAATGCCCTCATCTTTCATCTGGTTAAGAGCTGAAGTGCTTCACTGCTTTGCCCATTCATTGCCAGCCCAGAAATGGCAGCTGTATAAGTGCAAACACCCTTCTCTCTCGATGAACTAAACGCTTGCATTGCTAGATAAATGAGACCACATTTTGCATACATGTCAATCAAAGCACCGGACAGTATCGAATCTCATACGCTTCTTCTGAATGTATGAGTGAACCCAATTCCCATGCTCCAGAGCACCCAACTGCGGAAAGAACACTCACCAGAATTGCAGAGTTTGGCTGGCTCCTTATCCAACAATTGCATCTCTTGGAAAAAAGCCAACCTTCCTTTGGCTGATTGTTCTGAGCACAGCCAGAAATCATAACAACCCAGGAAACCAAATTCCGCCGGGGCATTTCCATAAAAAACCCGGTAAGCCTCAACCATATAATTTGACCTTATTAGCCCACTGTGGAGGGACCACCAAGGACACAACTGCAAGAAACATCATTTCTTTGGGGCATTTTCCTGAACAAGTTGAGAGCTTCCGATATATCACCATTTCTAACATGCCCATCCATTAATCAAAGAATTCCACTACACATCAAACACTGATCTTGCATCATCCAATTTCCCACTAACATGAATAAAATTGTATTATAGAATTGCGAACAAACACATCATTTCAAATGAATTCTTGATAACCATAGAATGGAACTGCCGACCCAGATCAAATGCCACGAAATTCGAACAAGCTTGGAACAAGAAAGTGAATGTAAAGTTGTTGGGAGCAAGATCAAATTCAACCATCCGATTGAACAGTAGCAAAGTGCTAGGCAAAGAATCGGAAAGGCGGGCACGCGCAAAGCCACGCATAATGGTGTTGAACGGGAAAATTATGGGGGCGTTGAGGGTTGGACAAGGAGGAGGAGAGCGTAATCAATGTCGCCTGATGGGTCTAGAACTGAAAGGACACAAAAGGTCGGAGAGAGTGTGGCGGGTGGGTCGAGGCATTGACGATGAGCTGGCTGTGAGTTTGTTTGAATTGTTTCATCTTTTTGCATTTGTGAAAGAAAGATAATGAAAAGGGCGTGGACATTTGGCTTCAAGGGTTTGAAGAGCATTTTGATTGAACAGTCATAGAGATAGGTACTGACATGAATTCTACAGAAGTTTGAAGATTTTTAGGGAGAGAGTCGAGTTCTGTTTCTTTTCATACATATGAAGAAACAACAATTGTTTAACTGAAGCAATAAATGGCGGGAATTGATGCTGATAATTACTAGTTGGTAACAGACCATGGTAATCACCAAAGGGCAAGATCGTAATAATCATTTGTAGCAAATTATTTCTAGAATCCTGTTATTGTGATTCTAATCTTTATCAATCAAATATACACTCTTGGTAAAAAAAAAAAATCAAATAACTCTTACAGCAAAGGGATTGTTTATTACTACATCTTTCAAGTATATTACTCCTGTGTTCCAAAATAAATATTTTGTGATTTTTATCTTTATCAATCAAATATACACTTTTGATAAAATAAAATAAAATAAAAAATCAAATATGCACTCTTACAGCAAATGGATTGTTTATTACCATGACTTTCAAATATATTACTCCTGTGTTCCAAAATAAATATTTTAGGATGACTCATTCAAGACATTTATTTTAAGACAAAGGGAATAAATTTTTAATTTTATCTGACTATTCAGTGTTTCCAATAGTACAATTTTATTTTGGGTGAATATGTAAACATAATTATTATAAAAAAATAATAAATAAATAAAATATTTTAGCAAGATTAATAGCTCCTGAAATTGAAGTAGAATGGCAGAGATTTTTTTTTTTTTTTTGAAAACCATTATACGACAAGACCATATTATTGACCATCCAGCTTTATTATTATTATTATTATTATTATTATTTTATGTATGAATAAAGAGCAGTGCTAGACTTTACAAAAAAATATTCAAGATTGTATCACAAATGATAATTACGATGTCGTATTTCTTCACACATGTCACTCTCTCCTCTTTTTTAAGCTAGTTTTTCTCTTAATATTTTATTTCCAAAAGTATAAAATTCATAACCTTCCTCTACCATAGTCATCACGTCAAAAAGTAAGGATTAATTAATGACTAATTTCTTAACTTAAATTTCTTTGAGTAATCATTCATAATTCCAAGTCCTAACTATGTTTCAATTCTATCCATGAGTAAATTATGCATAGTTTCAATATATAAATATATACATATATATATATATATATATATATATATATATATATATACACACAACGTACACTGTGCCGCCAGCAACTTTCAAAAGAAAATTTAAGAACAATTCAAGAAAAAAGAAATTAACTGCTAAAAAAAATTTAGTGATTCTAACTCCCAATTTCCCAAAAGAAAAGCTAGTTATACAGCTCATTAGTGATAAAATCATGAAAAAAAAAAACAAAAAAAAACTTCATGTCTATCATTTTTCACGAATAAAAACTATTTGTGTCGGGCTGTCGCTGGCCCAGAAAAATTGCCAACGTGGATCTGATTCTTTTGCCACCCTGCAACCCTCGCAAGACCTTCCCCGTACAGCTAATGTGGTTCCACCATAATCTAGAAAAATCTCACAAGTCACACCATGCAATTTGCAAACTAACCAGAGGTGGCTGATCACAAACCGTATGTTATTTATGTAGTATATATTTATCTCTTCATGATTGAAATTAAACTGGCCATGATTTGAAACTCTTGCACTTGCGTCTTCATGATTCTCACACAGTAAATATGCACATTAACAATTAAAGTTGGGTATGGGGCGGAGTATATGCACAAGGGGGGCACTTGTCCCGTCTGGCCTGGCCCAGTCCACTATAAATATAAATTATTTTTTATATTTTATATGTGTATATATGAAATTTTTTATATAATATCCCCTCAAATTATTAGTTTTTAAAATTCTTTAATATTTTTAGTTTTTTCCTAATTTACTCTTCAAATTCCTTTAAAAAAAATTTTAAAAGTTATTTGTTTTTTAAGTTGTCATTTTTCTTATTTTTTTCCTTTCTATTCCTTTAAATAAGTTTTTTTTCTTAACATTGTGTCCCTCCAAAACTAAAATCCTGGGTCCGCCCAAAATTGAGTTTGAGTTAAATTTATAGAATCTATATATTTATTTATTAATTATTTTTTTATTCATAAAAAATTCACACAAATTATTTACGCACTCACTTAATTTTTTTTAGAGACTCAAACTTTAACAATTCATTTTTAAAAAGTAGAAAAAATACCATCGACCACGTGACTCTGGGTTAGCCTCTAAATTTGAAGTTGTATGCTTGCAGAATTTACTTTTATTATATTTTATTAATAATTCAAAAAAATAGTACAACTGTATCTTTGACACCGATGGTCACAATTCTTGTCTGGACAGTGTAGGCTTTCACAATATGATGGGCCTCCACAAAATATGAGTAGACATAACAGCCGACTGTGGAGATGAAAATAATTGTTTTTTAAAAATTTAGCAATAAAAAACAATATGAGAGAATATTTTTTTAGTTATGTTGATGATTCTTCTTTCAATATATCAACTCATATTTTGAGCTTGCGCTTATTTTATTTATTTATAAATGCACATGTTGTTTGAGAGTGGTCATATATGATAGTGGTACTAGGCCGCGACGGTGCCCGTGTATGTTCAGGGGGTACTTATTTCGGTCTGGCCCCGCCCACAATACATATAGAATTTTTTTTATATTTTATATGTATATATGAAATTTTTTATATAATGCCCCCTAAAATAATTAATTTTTAAAAGCATCTCTTATTTTTCTAATTTATTTCCTAATTTACTCTTCAAATTATTTTTTAAAAAATTCAATTTTCCTTGTTAAATTAAATTTTATTTTTTTTCCTTCTACTCTTTTAAATATTTTTTTTTTAACATTGTGTCTCCCTAAACTAAAATCCTAGCTCCGCGCCCCGGTATTAGGTTCTTATTTATTATTTTCTTAAAAAAAAAAATTACTAGTAACTAGTTATCAAATTTTAAAACAATTATTTAAAAGTAATTTTCACAAAATGACTCTTAAAAGTTGAAAGGGTTAATTCCATCTACACCCCCTGACGTTTGGCAATATTCCACTTACACCCCCTCTAGGTTTTAGTATTCCACTAGCTTAACTCCCCTCATTGTAATTGCCGTCTATCTTACTAACGGAACGGTGTGATATTACAGTTTTGCCCATCAATTGTATATGAATATTTTTATACATAAATTGTATATGAAATTAAAAGACCAAAATGTCCTTTAATATTGTTCCAAATCTATAAGAGATCACCCCGTCTTGCTTCACTCCTGGCTTCCTGTCGTCCATTATTGCCATTCGCTAGTCCCGTCACTAAGAACATCTTGCTGATCGTTGTTCGTTTCGTCGGGAAAGTCAGACTCGTTTCACCGCCGTTCAGTCACACCATTCCGACGTCGAAACTACGGTTCATCCTGGCTTTACCACCGGTACAGTCATGTTGTCGTTCATCACGCCCATCTTGCCGTGCTTCATTCTTGCTTGACGATTGTTTAAGACTAATAAACTAAAAAAGCACCTGATTTAGTCACCCACCAAAGTTAAACCCATTGTCAATGGTGACCGACATATGGAGGACGCTGTATAAAACTTCAACATCTATGGACACCGACAGTGTATGGAACCTTAGACGACTGATTTCTGGTGAATTTTAGACTATCAAACGTATGCACCACTTCTTGTGAATTTCTGATGTATTCTCTCTCCACTCTCTCTCCTCTCCACTTTCTTTCACCATCACATACTCTAGCGATTTCCATCTCCACCCACAGTTGCTACCACCACCATACCACATCTCTCCTCTCCTCACTCTTAATTCTTAACACCAAATCATATATACATTATTATTATTATTAAACCCAAAACATAATTCTCTCTCCTGGGTCAAAACCCATTTTGGGATTGTTAATAAGCACCTTCCTCTCTCCTCTTCACCTACTCCCACCGTCACCTTCTCCAACTGCCGCCATCTCCACCTATCGACGCCACCGCCATACCTCTCTGCTCTTCTCTCATCTCTCAACAACAAATCACATATATATATATATAT